TGGCTCACAGCAGCCCCAGCAACATCTAGCTGATTGGCTCCTCTGTGGTGATGCTCATTGGGCTGTTTCCCTGCCCTTTCACCCTGCCCTTTCAGACCATGGAGCTGCTCATTGGGGGACTTCTTTGGCTCCGCCCACGCAACCCAGCCAATCGGCCTCAAGAGCAGGAGGATTGTGGGAGGTGGAGAGGCTTGTGTGGGTGAGAGGCTTGTGGAAGCCGGTGGTGGCAGTTGGGCTCTGAGGGTTTTTTCCTGAGGAGCTGTTTTGTTTGGCGTGTGTGGTTCTAAAAATAAAGTTAGTTTCTTTTGACAAGTGGCTCCTGAATTGTGCCCAGCCAGACTGCAGCATCAGGGTGCCATTGGTTCTTCTCTACAAAAAGAGCTGATTTTCTCAAGATGAGTGTGAAGATTTTGAAAAGAATTTGTGCTAGGCAGTTTCCATTTGCTCCTACAGGTCCACTCTCTGCTCTCCATCCTGCTCTGTACCCTAGGGCTGACCTCTGTGAGTTGTCCATCTCCAAGAGGGACCCACCAACTCAAGGCCCTGGGAGGAGTGCGGACAGCAAAAGCAGTAGGAACTTATTCCCCTGGCTCTCCTCAGATGGCTAGTTATACACTGTGTCAGAGTCCATGGCTCCTATGCTTCTCCCTTCCTTGGCCCTTCAGGAGAGGCAATAGCTCCTTCTTCTTGCTGCCAGCCTCAGGATGCTTCACCACCCCTTTTTGCTTTCCCTGTATTTTGTTGTAAATAGTCCTTTTATTAAACTCTTGGAAATTACAGAGTTTTCGTTTTCCAAGGGACCCCCACAGATAGTGGGCTAACAAGAAATCCCTTCTTAGGGAAAGTGGGAAACAGAAGCAAACCCAGGTTACAGTCCTGAAAAAGATTTCTTTTCCCTTGGACTGTGAGGAATAATAGTATTGAATTGACAAACTTTTTTTTTCATAAACCTCTTCAATATCCAAGCCTTTGGTAATGCCCATTGATGTGCTTAGCTCTGGGTGGGTGAGGCACATAGGAAGCTAAATGATGAGCACTAAGGGCCCACAGCCTTTCCCACTCACCAGTCTGCTGAGGTCAGTATGGGGCGGGGGGAACTATCTCCAGAGCATGGTGGCGTCATGAAAAACTAGAGATCTGATGTAAATATGTGGTGCCCTAGAGAAGCAATAGGAAGCACCTGCCAAAGGGTGACTGAGTCACAGTTGTGAGACAGCCATCTTAAACCCAGATAAACCACTGCCCAGTGAAGCTTCAGGGAAGGGAGTTGATACTGTAGTGACAAATATTAAGAGTAAGGTGTTTTTGGTCCCTGCCCTCATGGTTATTTATGTAATAAGAAAAGATTAGAGACTCAGAAAAAGAATAACAAGGTCATGCATGCTGGCATACTGCTGTAAGCTCTGCAACTCAGGAGGCTGAGGCAGGAGGATCACAAGTTCAAAGTCAGCTTTAGCAACTTAGTGAAGCTCTTAGCAATTTAGTGAGATCCTGTCTCAAAATAAAACATTAAAAGGGCTGGGCATGTGGCCCAGTGGTTAAGCACGCCTGGGTTCAATCCCTGCTATAAATTGAATAAATAAATAGGCTGTGGTGTAGCTCAATGGTAAACCACCCCTGGGCTCAATACCCAGTAACTCCTCCCAAATAAATAACTTGGGGCTAGTTATTGGGAATTTACTCAGTGGTACAACACATGTTCAACATGCACAAGACTGTGGGTTCAATCCTCAGTACCAAGAAAAAAATCATGAAGTGATTATAGTTCACCTTCCTCCCATTGCTGGCTGGAAGATCCAAGAAGCCATCTTGGGTCACAAGGTGGAAGCCATATGTTGAGGGTGACAGGCCAGCAAAATAGATAGATCTGAGTCCTTGGCAATTTTGTGCCTAACTCCAGCCTTCTATCTTTAAGGCATCTGTGCTTTGGATTTTCTATCCCTAACAGCTAAATCCCTCTCTGGTTGATGTACCATATTAAGGAGTTTGGTGATGGCCTAAGAGCTTCAATGACAGTTGGAGTGAGGCTGTGGTTGGTGGTGACAATCAACAGAAACCATTTGGGGTGGTAGGAGAGGGGATGGAGGTCAGGATCACACGGTACTGTTTATTCATGTGTTTGATATTTTTAATAAGATCTGTACCAAATCTGTGAGAGGTGCTGATGATCCACAGGAGTCCTAGCCCTAAACTCAGGCTGGTAGGACAAACAGTTGAAAAGCAACAGTGCAGCAGCGGAAGCACATACAGCAGTGGGGGCGGGAAGGGGTGCTCAGTGAGGCTCTCTGTGATCACCTCTGTCCCATGGTCAGTCTGAGTGGTCCCGTCCTGCCAGGCTGCCCAGGTGGGGGTAGGAAAGCTGGATTCCTTAGGGACTGCACATGCACAGGTATCATGGTGTTACTGGTGTATCTTGGGGCTGGGACCTACAACCCATAGAGCACACTTGCTTTTTAAACTATAAGTTGCCATATTATTTGAATTTAAAAAAAAGCAACTCTAGGGTAAAAGTCTGCACCTTAATGATCTCCTCTATCCTGCTGCCTTCCCTCCCAGAGGGAACCAGTAATTCTTAACCTGTGGTGCGTTCTTCTAGAAACTGAAACATGTTTCAGCTCCCTAGCCCATATCCTGAAATTTCTGCACATTTCCATGACTTGTATTTGGGCTTAGCCTTCCTACTCCAGTAGGATTCTGTCCCCTCCTCATTTTTGTGTATGCCCTGCTTGTAGGCTAATCTCATTCACTCATGGCAGTAACTCTGGTCAGTAGAGCAGGTGGCACCTGGTAGAACTCCATGGCACTGTATATAACACTACTGACTCAGAAGGCCAAGAAGGTTGTTCTGATGGCTAACAGTTGGTGTCTGCTTATGCCAGGCACGGTCCTGGGTGTTCAGCTTGTCTTCATTTATTTAATCCCCTCCACAATTTAGTGATGAAGAGAAGTATGTCACAAAAGAGTAAACTGAGGCATAACAAGTGCCCCGAGACTAATTAGTAAGTGGCAGAGCCAGGATTTAGCCCATTTAACTGGGCTTCGTCCTGTGCTCTTAGCCTATGGAGCCTAACAAGTGAGAATAAGGAGTCCCATAAGAGCCCAGGGCTTGTCCCAAACAAGTCCTGCTTGCCCCCACCTTGCTGCCAGTGTTCAAGACAGGGAAGTGAGCAGTGCCTGGCATACAAGACCTGGGAGGTCAGAAGTGCTTGAAGTTAGTGTGGATGGCAAGGCTCTGGGAGGGGAAGCTTCGGTGTGAGAGGCTGCAGGTATTCCTTCTCCTCCCACGTAAGAGCTCAGGGGCAAAAACTGGCTTCAGTGTGGGAAGGCAGGGGAGGAGGAGCTGCCATGATGGTCCTCAGGGCCAGGCCAGGTGTAGTGGTGGTGGGGGCACTGGGCATGGCCTCTGCTCATCCTCTAGATCTGAACTTCAGAAATCCACATTTGGTTCATGTACTGTGACGGTGGAGCCCATCTGTCATCCATTTACAGCCTACATTCTCCATCAGAAAATGAGCTCAGTTCTAGAAAAGAACTGGTGTTCCCCAATATGACCAGCTCCTGGGGAAGCACAGACTCTGTAGTGTCAAGTGACAAAAAACTTCCACAAGAAAAATATTTTAATCCAAAATGGGTGGAGTCTACAAAGAAATGTTTAGGATATAGTCAAGGACCAGCTATTCCTCCTTAATGCTTAAAAGTATATGGCTAAAAATAATTAGAGAAAAACAATTCAGATAAAATAGTAAGGCCATTAGAACTGAATAGACTTCCAACTAAAATCTGTTTTACTTATTTAGAAGAACCTGGACAGTTATTTACCCTCTCTGCACCTTAGTTTCACCTAGCAGTAGTGCTGACTTCACTGGGCCACAAAGGAAGAACACAAGTATTTTTTGTACCTAGCAAGAACTCCAGTGGAATAAGAGAATGAGGATTCTAGTCCACACCCTGTCTGAAGCAAAGCACAGGATTCTTTCTACTTTAAAACAAGAGGGTGTTAACACGCACAGCCCTCAACAAGGTATTTCTTAGCCCCACTGATGGAAACACAAAGCCAGGCTGAGTCTAAATGAGAGGGGGTGCTAATGACTCAAAGGTAAACTTGAAGGGTAAACATCCCATAGACCTAAAATAGTACATGTGGAATTTCTCAAAAGAGCAGATTTGCTCAGTTTAGTCTCCCACTAGTTGTATAAAAGCAGGTCAGTCAAGAAAGAGGCAGCACAGACTGCTTTTGGTATGACGACAAAGACAGCAGCTACCATGCTCTGGCATCACTATTTTTTGGTAGTAGGGAGAAGGGGAGCCACAGTCTCTGGTGTTTCTGCTGCCCACTAACTGTCTTCATCCAAGGCTTCCCTGCTGCCCGTGAAGTGCTGCCCCAGCATCCCTTCCCCCTAAGCCCATGGCTCCTCTCGCTCCCTGCAAGGTTAGAGTTTATCCCCACTCATACCATCCCTGATCTCTCTCAGGCCTTAGATTCAAAACTGAACTCATCCTCCTCATTGCACCTACACTTACCCTCTCCCCTTCGTGAGACAGCCAGGCCACTATGGCTCCTGGTTATCCTTTGCCATTTCCATTTCACACAAGGCTTGGGCTTGTTATGCTCACAAGTGCTAGAGCAGTGCATGATACACTACAGGTACCCAGGTTGGGGACAATGAGTGCTCAGAAGTGTTCATCCATAAACACCCACATCCATGACTTTATCTCAGCCTCATCTTTCAGCCATCACACTTCTCCAGAAAAACATCTACTAAAATAATAAAACACATTAATTTTTGGAATTAAATTTTCAGAGAAAGTAAGAAACAGTTTTTCACATTCTTAAATAATTTCCTGAGATTTCAATAAGAAAAAGGGAACAGAAAGTCATAATTGGATATAGAATTTGGATTTTTTTTTCTTTCAGAGACATATTTTACACAACTTTTGAAATTTATACTTTCAAACAAAATGAGCAAAAAATACACTGAATGCTAAAAAATCAAAACAGAAGTAATACAATTTTAATTTTAATATTTTAAAATACAGAAATTGGAAAGTAAGAATACCAAATACAACTTTAAACAAGTCACTGCTTCCCCTATAATAATCAATGTAAGCTACTTAAAGACTTACAAATTCAGAGTAAAACAGAAACAAAATAAATACTGTACACTTTCCCTGCCTGCAGGCAAAAGATGGGAAATACTGTTATGAATCGAAAAAAAATGCTCTTAAAGCTTCCACATCCCACTCCCCAGCCACACCCCGTTTCACTGTCACACAGTGTGCTTCTGTATTCCAAGGACACACATGTGCACACACACTGGCTGCCTACACACATAGACAAGACACTACTCCGCAGACACTCAAAACAAGAAGGGTAACAGTCACCTGGGACTGCAGACATAAAAACCAGTAAGGAAAGTCAGTCAGGCTAGCAAAACATTACTACAAAACTAGTAAGTACCATAGCCAACAACTGTCCCCTTTTCAAATTTCACAGAGTTAAAACCCCCAAAACCAATACTACCCCTCCCCATCACCACCCTCCAACATCCCCCCAAAAGAAAACTTGCTGAAGCACTGGTAAAATTAGACATTTCACAGTAAATGTGAAAATTCATACTATATAATCTCTTAAAATGAACCTTTTCACCCTCTTTCCACAGCATGAAACTGTTATGGCTTAATTTATATTAAAAGTAGAAAAGTCTTTTCCGAAGGAAATACAGTCTGCAAAGATGCTCGTGCGTTTCCTGATCGGTGCTACTCCATGCCTAATAACTGCACGACGTGCTTTGCAGCCAGAAGCTGTTTGTGGAAAAACTGAGGCTGTAGCTTTTGATTCAGTCTAACCATAAACTGTAAGGCCCTTAGTTTGGTTTAGGTTTCTTTTACAAGATAAAATAACCTTGGGGTTCACTTAGTTAAGTTACACCTCAGGTCCCTGACTATAGTGTGGAAGTTATATGTATGCTTTGTAAAAAATAAAACGTTACTTTTGAATCTTAGAGGGAAGAAATGATTCTAGACAAGGAATCAACTCCTCATTATATATTACATTTAATGCTGGTAATTTTTACCAACCAAAATCCACCAAATAAATATAAGAGTATGCCTGGGTTATTTTATTACTGCAAAATATTATATATCCTAGCACTTAATGACCATTGTTTTGGTGAAAAACCTTAGGGGGAAATAGCTTATATTTTGGAAAAGAAATGGCCAAAATAAAACTGATTGAAAATAAGTTTGTTTTTTTTAAAAGGAAGTTCTGTTTATGAGTGCTTTCTGAAATAAAGAAAAGTGAATTCAGAAGGTCATGGGTTTTGCATAGGTAAACTACTTGGAGGTCAAGGGCTACGTGGTAGCCAGGGTATATTAGTGAAATAGTGCAGAGCAGATAAACTTGTTGGAAGAATCATTGAATACAGTTTTAAAAAAAATGTAATGTTGCACTTGTTAAGACAAAGTCTAAGACACAAGAAGGGGCACCAAAGGCAAGAGGGAGAATCTAAAGGTCTCTCAACTCAGTATTATTTTCTCCTCCCAACTAAAGAAGGAAAAATCTCTACAGAGGAATAAAACCAGTCCATCACAATAAGTTAACTGCTTTGGAAATATGCATTTGTTCTGGATGATCTTAAAACTGTTTATGTAATATCAAGTATTTCTTTGACTTATGGCATGCTCACTGAGAAATAACTTAAAATAAGGGAAGGGTTTTTAGTAAGGCTATAGTACTAAGTTGACATTACACTCAACAGCAATTTAGTAATAAGTATAGTAATTTCTCCCCTTCCTTTCCATCTGACCTCAAGCATATGAACATTATCTACGGCAAGGCAAGCAGAGGCTGCAGTGTCACAGAACAGGAGCTGTTTTAGGAAGCAAGGTTTTATTCTATAGATCCCAAGCAGATTCACCCTGTGTCCCTAAGCAAATCACTGCCCTATCAGATGTACATTTGTCTCCTTTTTTCACTGGCTTTCCTAGGCTAAAGATACATGACGCTCACCCTCAAGATCACTTTGGATGAAGGTGAAGGACATCAGGAAAGGAATAGGGAGACTTCGCTTCTCTCTCTTTTGAAGTGCAGGGGATCTAAAAACGGGCCTTGCACAAACTAGGCAAGAGCTTTTCTGTATATAAGGAGAAATTAGTCAATATTTAATGAGAAAGATTTAATTTCTGAAAGATGTTTATATTATGAAAGCCCTTGTCTCTCCCATGCAAAAACTAAAAATGCTTATTTGTTGTAACAGTTACTTCTAGCAGTAGCATACTGGGCCATGCAATCATTCTCATCAACTCTCCAAAGTAGCCTTACTACTTTAGAGAGCATATTTTGAAACAAGCAGATTATTTTCTGTAGAAGACATAGTCAGTCTCCTTTCCTGCACTACTCCAAAGATTTCTTTTTTTACCCAGGCAACTGTCACCCAACCTGTAGCTATCTGAGGAGTTCCGTCTTCCTAACCACCTTATGTCTTTCTACCAGTCCCAAGGGTAGTTGCTAAATAATTTTAATTCCATAACTTATTCCATTTTTCTCCAGTACCTCAAAAGTATGCCAAATCTGGAAAGCAGTACTAAAATCTAAAGGTATCTTTTAATCATTTTACATCATCTTCATGAACTTGAGAATAAACTCTCTCACTTTCCTATCCATAAACTAGCTCACCTCTTTTTCTTTCACTTCAAGCACAGGATCTAACTGTAATTCAGCACCTTGTTAGAGAATCTTCGGATTTTTTTAGATAGCATATATTTGATAAGAAACAACAGTTTTCATTTAAAAATGTATATAAAGATGCATTCATTACGAGTTGTAACTTAAATAATGATCAATTCTCTGTAAATATGAAGTATTAATAGATTAAGGAATGTTTTTCTTCAGTAATTAGTATAATAAGCATTTTCATCCAAATTTACAAATAAGACAACTAAGATAGAAAGGCTAAGTGACTTATTTAAGGTCAAGAGCTGACACATCAGAAGCAGAACTTAGACCAAAACTCAGGACCTTTTGCTTTCTTCCACATCATTTCACATCTTTATGTTACCAACATTATTAACTAACTTTTGAAATGTTTCTTAAAGAACTCAGGTGGATTTTACTTCTACAGTGGGATATCTCAATTGAAACTAATAGAGATAAGCTACTTTTTTTTTTTTTTTTTTAATGAATGAGCCCTCTTTTACTGAAGTTTGCCTAAAAGTGAAAATAGTACTGCTAAGTTCCTGGAGAATTTCTTGGGCAAAGACTACAATTGCAAGTTGACATTACCCTACCATACTAAATAGTGCGAGGCACACAGTAAATGTTTGATAAATACCTGCTGATCCCATATGAATACATACAGTAGAGTACAATGAAAAGGCAATAATTAGGGTTGTTAAAAATAGAACATTCAAGTTAAGTATTTAACTAGTGATAAAGATGAACTTGTTTCCTCTCTGAGTTTATGATTTCAGTCTGAATGTTCAATTTTGTATGCTTCAGAAATGAACTGATACTTATGAAGTTCAAATGTATTCCTAAGACACTGGATTACTATAAACTGCCAGCTTTGTATTGTTTATATCACTCGTCAGTACTGGGGAGCATAACATTGTGTGATGATGTGAATTACAGTACAGTGGATCCCAAGTTAAGAATCAATATAGGAAAATTACTATCAATATAGAAAAATTACTACTACTGTTAAGTTGCATACATTAAATCACTAATTCTTGATTTTACATATTTGTATTTGCTTACAACTAACTAAATGCTGTCTTCCTGTCTAAACTGTGGTATACTGATTATAAACAAAACTAAGGGAAACACTAAAGGTTACTAATGTTACTGTTGAGCCCAGAAACTGGCAGTCATTACCTCAAAGTTCAGTCAGTTCCAAGAGACAAAGGAATGCATCATAGCAGTAACTTTATAAGAGGTTTGATTAGAAAAGTCACTGGATGGGTGGCTGAATTTTTACCAATTCAGAAAAAAAGATACATGTATTCTCTTATAGTGGTTATATGACCTTGATGAAAGTTTTGGAACTTAGCCAGTTAGTGAGCTAAAACTGCCAAAAAACAAATCCACAGTACTTTCACTTAAAAATTCTACATATTTGCTAATCAGAATTAGTGTTTATTGATCTAAGGACACAGGGTGGATAGTGGCCACGATTTTTGTTCTTTAAAAATAAATTATGTTTTTTCTCAATTTTTACCGCTAAAGAAAAAAGTAATTAAAAATAAGTTGTGAAAATTATAAAGAAAAAAATCCAGATCATGATGTAACTGGAAAAAGAAACTATAGTCCTATTTCTTAAACCAAAATAAAAATATGTATACTATAACATCAAAACAGGGTCTACAAAAAACCAAGACACACAAGTATATAGAGATATACTGTGGAGGAAGGTGAGAGAATCAATCAAACCCAGATTTTTACATCTTGATATATGATGACCAGCCAATGGTTGACTACAGCCATCTCTCCACTAGTTAGGTATACTACAGACAGGGTTTTAAGTAAGTTGTTTACAAATTTTAAGGATTTCCATAAAAATTATTTTCCTGACAACCAGATAAGATTCAGACTCTGGCCCAGACACTCTGGACCAAAAAGGCCAACTCAGAAGTTATTTCATAGTTATCTCATGAAATACTGGAATGAAGACAGAGTAAGAAATATTTCTCTTTGGAAATACATATTTGAATGCAACCATGAAAGATAATGGTATAGTTTTTTTTCTTAATAACTTAAGTGATACTTAATACAGAAAGGAAAAGTCCTGCTACCTTGCTTATTAAAAAAAAAAAAAAGACAAATCTGTAGTATGGCCATATTTCTTCTCCATAAAAATAAATTCCAGCCTATTTGCCTATATTGTCTTTGTAGAAATTTGTAAAATGCTATATTGTCAGACTTAGGAATAGTTCCACTTCACCCCTAGCAATCATTTATTTTTATACCATGGGTGGGGGTGGGGGTGGGGAAGGGAAACCAGAAACTCTGATAAGCAACTGAAAACTAATATTTAGTAAAAATTTTACATAAAGGAGATAAATGATTACCTTAAAGTTCAACCAGATAGTTAACCTAAGTATACACTGGTCAAGTTAAGATATATGGAAGAAACTGCAAAAAGAAGCACCCATTTTACTCCAAATCCATATATGAAATAATTATGCACAAGGTTAAGAAAAAGTAAACACAAACACACACACACACACACACACACACACACACACACGATCTACTCCAACATGCTTGCATCTATACAACTTAATATAGTATAATTCTATTATATTACGGCTTATTATGCAGATTTGTATATCCTACATCAATTCATACTTTTCAACAAATTAGGTGTAAAGAGTAAAAGCATCATGAGATATAACCTTGCAGCAGGCGTTGGCCCTGTCCTCCAACACTGACAGTAGGAAGAAGGCCCTCTGTAGTTACAAATGTATTTGGAAAAAATACAAACATGACTATTTAACCAAACTTATAATACTTTCCGCACAAGTAGGAAAAAGATATTAAAGCTGTTCTCTTTGGGACCCAGATATCATCAGCAGAAATGAAAACATAAGAAGCCTAGTTCTTTATATTTAGAAGAAAACCACAAAGGAAATGAGAAATGAGGGATCTTTTATGAAGTTCTTACACATTGGCTATGGAAGTATTTCCCTGCAAAGAGAAGAGTCTTGAAGAGTCATCACAAAATGACAGGGGGGTGCAGAGGGAAGGTGGGGTATAAGGGAATCAACCTGGATAACAGTATGCACCTTGAATGTTAGCAAAAGCGAAGCTAATAGCTTATAAAAAACACATGAAATATATAAAATAAAATGATTTTCATATACATCTTAATTTAAAATAATTAATGCATCAAATCCCTGTTTAAGACTTTAACCTGAATATCAAATTTAAGAGTCCAGACTAGTTACTGTTACTGTGGCTCTTTCCCACATGTAACACACACACTATCAAAAATAATTTAAAAACCTTCACATTCTTAAATCTAAATTAGTGAGATATTTCTCCAGAAATCTTCCAAATAAATAGCTTTAAAAAAGAAAGAATTTAAAAGCTGTTAACTTTAAAAAAATCTGTTAAATAAATTATTGATAATTCTTTACCCTACTACTGAAAATAAATCAAGACACTACCAACAACAAAATGAAATTCAAGCCCTGACAAGAGACCCTTTCCAGTTCGAGGTCTCTTTTTAAGGTTCTACCCTCCTTCTTCCTCTCCCCCACCAGGTCCAAAGGGTTATTGCTGAGTGGGTGTGGCACAGTGAAAATGCAGCATCAGGTTCATTCTGTTCTTCGGGCAGTGTTCTTACTGTACACGCAAATGTTCCAGGCAGGGGGTGGTGGAAGCTCCAGGCTTCTGCACCCCAAGACTGGTCTCCAAAGTGAAGAGTGGCTGCAACAGTGGCTCTGTCACACAAAGAAACGTGCATGGCCATTTCTGTTCAACTTAAGGATCTTTCCAAGACGTTGTTTGGCTGTTGCCATTCCTTTTTTAGGTCGTTTACCTATAAAACAGCAACAACAATGAAAAGCATACTCACCAGACAGCACAGAAAGACTTAAAGAGAATTTTACAGTAAGCAAGCCCATTAGGCATTTGACTACACCAAGCCACACTTTTGGACTTCAACTGTTTTTTTTTTTTTTTAATGTGGTGTCGGGGATGGAACCCAGTGGCTCATGCGTGCTATGCAAGTGCTTTACCACTCAGCCACGACTCCAATCCATGGGCTTACACTGTTTAAAACTCTTCCCCCTCATCATGCTGGGGTAAAGACTAACCTCTTTCTAAACAAACTATGGTTTTCAGCTACAAAATGTACTGCAATTTCACCGAAACCTCACAAACTGTTCTTTCTTGGGTACCTTAGGTAATGCTCTCTCCTCAGCCTTTCTTTCTGTCTATTCTATCTATTCCCCAATTCAGCTTGGTTAACTCCTTATCATCTACTTTTAGGATCTGTCTCCTCCTGATCTTCAGGGTTGGCCAGGTAACTTCCTTTTTTGTTCCCACAGTAGCTTGAGCATACTATTACAGAGCTGTCAAAATTCATGAGATAGTGAGCATCTTGAATGAATTAATGATGCCACTACTGCCAAACACAGTCAGAAATATACTTAATCTGCAAATATTTAAAATTTACCTTTTGTTGCCTGGTTGCTGATAGGTGGTGGATTTGATGCAGGTCTCTTGGTGGGGTGAAGGGGCACTGAAAAGGAAGTTTCACCAACTGGCCTTTCTGGGCTTAGGCTGCCATTACTCATCTGGCATGCCCCTGAAAGCAAGCTGGAATTCTGCACGTACTTTCCATTCTGAAGACCTGAGCCACTGCTCTCCATATAATTCCTACTTTGCACCTTCTGACTAGTTTCTGATGAACCTTCCTTTTTGTTGCATTTCTGGCTTCTGCTTAGGTCCTGAAAAAAAAAAAAAGGAAACAAAGCTGAATTTTTAGGATTTATGATAAGTGAGGTATTCAAACTCTACATTAGCAAAGTTAAGAGAGAAAAGAAACAAACTACTAAATTTTAGTTTTCTTAATGTATTAGCTACAGATGACCACCCTTCATGATGGTCATCCCATCCATAATAAATCTAATAGTTCAGAAGAATCCAGGTCTTGAAGTTGCATTATAACTAACTCAAGAAGAAGGGGAGGAGGGAGGGAGGGATAACAGAGGTATCTGCCGCCATTCCATGAGCCATGGGGGATACAAGATGGGACACAGAGACCCAACCATTTCCTTAGCACATCACAGCTTCCACAAAACTCTCATGATGTAATGTGCTATATTTTTGGAAGTTAACTTGGAGTGCCTGAGTTCAATACCCAGTACCACAAAAAAAAAAAAAAAAAAAAAAAAAGGACTTTAACTTCTGTAAGGTTCATCTACACTGTATTTGTTTGCTAGAAAAATCCCTAATTCCAGAACCCCAAGCCTGTTTTTTATTTGACTATAATTCTTCTTTCAGTCTCTCAAGACTATTGAGTTAATCTTCAAGCAGGGAGACACTACTAACTAATGAGTCTTGAAATTAACTAAGAAGGTCATGACCAGCTGGAGAAAGGAACAGACTGGCCTTGAAGAGTACCCTGCAGTGTGATGTTTCAGAAACTAGCTTTAATTATGCACACATGTGTATGAAAGAAATGTGAAAAACATTTGATCTGACTCTGCATTGATCAAATAAGTTTCAAAAGTAGTAGTATTAAATACAGAATTGCTGTAAATTAGTCTAACAAATATTCTAGATCATAATCCTATAATTTGACATGCCATTGTAATATCTCTCTAGATTATAGACAAAAGAAATTTGATTTGCTCTACTGTGATCTTGCTAATCATATGCCCTCTGCTTCTTCATTTATTTTCAAAGACAATACAAAACACAAAAGCCTGATTTAAATAATAGCTTACTTTTAATTTTTTTTTTTGAATTTTTAATATTTATTTTTTAGTTATCGGCGGACACAACATCTTTTGTTGGTATGTGGTGTTGAGGATCGAACCCGGGCCGCACGCATGCCAGGCGAGCGCGCTACCGCTTGAGCCACATCCCCAGCCCCAACTTTTAATTTTTTAATAGCTTATTTTTAATTCTAAATCCCTCTGATGTTAGTAAGTAACAAACTGTATATCCAGCCACTACAAAATCCACTACAAAAATCACACACTGAAAAAGTGATTTGTAACCGGTAAGAAATTTCTTACTTGATCTTTGACTCTGGAGCATATCTGTCTGCTCAAAGAACTAGATTACACAAAGCCTTTTTTTTTTTTTTTTTAACAACAACAACAAAAAACTTGGGGTACAGCACTTGTCTTGCATGTGCAAGGCCCAGCAAGACAAAAAAACTTTGCCACAAAAAACCTGACTTTTTCTTATTGCAAAAGTACTAAAATTTAGAAAATCCAGATAAGCCAAGCCAAGAAAAGAAAACCACCCATAATTCCACTACTCAGATATCAAAAATATTGAATTCATGGAGGCAGAGTCTTAACTGCCTTTTCTGTGCACACACATACATCTCCCCCTCAGAGAGTTTAAGTTCACACCTCCAACTTAACCCAAGGCTCTGGAAGACACTTCCAGTCCTGCTGAGGTCTATCAGTACAACACTAATCTTTATTCATGAGAGTCTCCTTTCGCTTTTTCTTAAACTGCCTACACAGCTCCCCTCCTCTCACCATTTCCCTCAAAGTGTTTTTTGTAGACAAGAGAGAAATGACAGTATTTCTGCATTTGCTTGATTTACTTTCCTTCTTAAGTATGACTGGGGTTGGGGAGTTTTAGAGACCCCACTCCACTTCATGATAACACTGATTCTTTCTCTGGCTGCCATTTTCTAAGGCTCGCAGCAAAAGGTCTTATCATGTTCTTTGTTTGGTGTTACTGTAGGTTTAGTTTTTTTTGTTGTTGTTGTTATTGTTGTTTGTTTGTTTTAATGCTGTTTGAGGTTCATTCTATATGGTATAAGCACAAATATGCTGAGATCCTAAAACATCTAGTTTCTGTCTTAGAGCAGAGGTTTTTAATTTGTAGTCAATGGAGATTTGGTGATGACAGCACGCACCATTTAGCAAATGTAAGCAAAAGTCAATTAAATATTTTTTTGGGAAAGAAATCTGTAACTTTCATCAAATCCTGAAAGAAATTTAGTATCAAAATGTTTAAGAGACAATATCAGAGATGAAAAAGAGATGCTCTTTTCCTCATTTTTCACTCTAACCAGATAAAACCTTACAGTTTGCCAACCGCTGCCAACGGTTTCAACTCTTTCTTGAAAAAGTTACTCTTTTCCATATCACATATCACATTCTGTCTTTAAGCCTTGAAGCATCAGGCATCACAGCAGAATCTCTAAAAATGGACAGTTGTTCAAATGTGCATGTAACTGCCATTCTTTGGCTTCCTAGAGGTAGTAGTTAACAACCAGTTACAGTTTTAGAAATCAAAATAATGATGATTTTAAATCTCCTTTTAATGTTTCAACCTTGAAATATACCTGAGGATTAAATCTGGAAGTTCTATCAAATTGTTTAACCCAGGAAGAAGTCCTCAAGTCTTGATCTTCAGTCTTGACATGGTATCCTAGGGAGAAGTTTTAATTGAATTATCTTTGTACAAACTTGATTTTAAAGAACAAAATTAGCTTACCATTTTGTTAATTCTTTAGACATTTATTCATATACCTTCACTTTCACTACACTTTTTCCCTCTCAAAACAAAAACAAAAGTTATCAGCTTACAACCATACTTGTTACTACTTTTTTCAGTTCTCTCAAAGACTTTTTATATGACAGGTTTTATGTCAGATGCTAGAACACCTATGGCCACATATTGTTGACGTAAAACCAAATGTTAATATACTCTCTAAAAATGGCATGTTTTCCCATACAGAATTAAAGGCACGTGTTTGCTTGAACTTTGTAATTATTTCCATAAAAAGAGCTTTCTTTTTAAAGGACCAATCAGATTATAAGAAGACAAAAATGGAGCAGAGAAGGACAGACAAACCCAGATTTAAATATGAGTTTTTCCATTACCAAATAAACTTTAGGCAAACTATTTAACCTTCAACGACTTTGGGATCAGATAATACTAAGTTCAAATTATAACAATTCTGAATAGCTATCTATGTATATGTAAAGTATGAGCAAGTTAAAATAAGTTCACTAAGGCAGGTGCAGTGGTGCATGCCTGTAAGTCCAGATTTGGTCTGTTTTACATTTAGTTTTTGTTTTGTCAGGACTGGAGATAAAACCCAGGGCTCATGCATGTTAGACAAGTGCTCCACCACTGATCTATATCCACAGCAACCTTGGGAGGTTGAGGCAATAGTTCAAGGCCAGCCTGGGCAACTTTGTGAGACCCTATCTTAAAATAAGTGGTAGAGCACCCCCTGAGTTCAATTCCCAATACCACACACAAACAAGTAACTTCAATAAATCTTATTTCTTTTCTCTGTAAAATGGGATCAATATTACCTATCCCATAAATGAAATGAATATCAAGCTCCTGGTCTACGGCTGACTCTTACTTATGTGGAACTGAACACTACTGGCATTCAATCTTAATGCAGTACTCTGTTCTCCCAAATCCTTCTCAGACTTTTTGGCAAACAAAATTTTTCTCTGGAGGCACAGAGAAGAAAACACTAGGTGGCATCACTGACATGCCATTGAGTCTACTCTTTCCTAATTCTTCCTTTTCAAGGAGGAGAAAGAATATCCTCAATTAGAAACAGTTCAAAACTTGTTTTCCCTCTCATAAAAGGAAAAAAAAGGTTGACTGTTTTAGTTAAGCAGACCATTTAAGAGACCAAAACATTCCTTCCAACTGGTCAACCTAACAGTGGTGAAAAGGAAACTCCAGTCTTGCAAGAGCAAAGGCAAAGCTGTGCCAGTGAATGCAATTCTCAGACCTGGGTAATTCAAATTTTGTGTTCTTATGCTCACATATTACATGATTTGTCTGTCAGTGCTATATATTTTTTTAGTGAATTTTCTTAACACCATGTCAAACTAAAGATGTGTAACAAATAGTCTTTATTCATACAATCTCTAACCTAAACTAGGATTATAGAGCTATTAAATTGGGGATCATATATTTTCAGAGACTTAATGTCTTATGTTTCTTACCATATTCTACTGGTTTATCATAGCGATACAACTGCCTAACTTCATGGTTACTGCTGTGGCAGCTGTTAGGATCCTGGAGAGAGTTCTTCTCACCACCGCAGTCTGTGCTTTGCATCTGCCTTTGTAAACACGTGGAATAGCGCAACCCTGCCATAGACAGCATGCCCTGAATAGCTTCTTCCTCTGTGCTTGTCGAGGTAGGACATTCCCTAAGGAGAAGGTCATCCAAAGAGAAAAGAATATGTTTTCTGATGAAATATATAAGTTAAAAAAACTTTAAATTAAAAAAAGTCTTCATTGCATTTATATCACAATGTAAAACAAATACTACCATCAGCAAGCCCACCTTTTAATTGGAATTTCACTTCTAGATGGCTTCTGACTCTTTTGTAGGAAGTTCCTCATCCCATTAGATTCCTCCTTAAAATTTGATGTTATTTCTTGTTTCTTTTCATCACCTGAACTTTCAGACTCTTCAGTGGTAAAATTAATTTTCTGAGATAATAAATAATTAAATGGAAACAAAGTTATCTAAGAAATTGATCAAGGTTGTACAAACAAATCAAAAAAGACTTCATCCATCCAGAGAAAGTTAGAATCTTTTTTTTTTTTAGAATCTTAATTACCATTGAATTACTTCAATGTTTCATATGAAAAAAAGTGAAATCTCCAGTAACTATGGTAACATACAACCTAAATTTAAAAACACACTATATGGATTTTAAGGAAAAATAAAATATAAAACATATTTGTGAAAAATACAATCAATCTAAGAATAATATAGGCAGAGAAGTTGTCAACCCTTTTCAAAACTGGACAAAAGCTGGATAGTCACAGAATATGTGTGTATAAAATAACTATAGGAAGACCCTGTATTGCACAAGTCAGACAGACAAGCTTTGGGATGGGCTATTATTTGACTTCCTCCTAGGTGAAGTCCATGGTTGCTTATCTCTCATCAAATGACGGAAGTCACAGGGTTTCGAGCATACCAGTGCAGTGCAATCAGCTCCAGAGTCTTCTGAATCAGAAATATCAGAATATTCTGATGATCTATTCCTGAGTTCTGATTTCACACTTGTAAAAAACCCTGATGAAGAAGACAAAGGATGGAAGAAAAAAAAAAAAAAAGCATTAGAACTTCATGAACAAGGTGGCAGGTAGTTTCTAAAGTCTACCTTGCTTCACAATACCACTTGGTCTTTCCTGCCCTAGCCTACTTTTTCTCTACTTTCATTTTCTCCTCATCTCTCCCATCTTTCTCCATAATTAACCAAGATACAGACTGAGGTATTTTTAAAATGTCTGGTATTTATTGAAGATGATTATATTTATATTCCTTACTTGAGTGAATTAACTACATTTCTTTCTAGAAAATAACCTTCAAAACTAAAGTAAGCTGTTAAGAAACCTTTACTTCTCATTTTGCATTAGTTCTCTCAACAGAAAACAAAAAGATAATTCTCTGAACCCTAAAATGCATTCCCACAGACATGAATTTAACGAGCTTATTATAAACAGGGCTTTCCTACTGTCTGTTTCTCCCATGAGGCACTGTCACACAGCACCATTTCTTCCATTCCTGTTGATCAGCTGCCTTTTCACTGGCAATGTGAACAAAGGCAAAAGTCAACAACTGTATACATATACTAAATTTACATGGAATTAGCAGGATCTGAGATATTCAACATGCATTAAGTAATATTATCCGGAACATTTACTTATCAAGTGCTAAAATACTGCAAAAAAAATTTTTTTTACTACTTTTTAAAATAGAAGGGCATATGGAAATCTTGACAGATGTTGAGAAATTGACTTTATTCAAGAAAAAAAGATCTGAAGGAGAAGGATGTATTACTTTGGCATCTGATAATGCTATTTTATTTGATGATAATCGATTAACAACCTAGTAGAGGCCTTCCTATCAAGAGGCAATAAAATAAAACTACAGAACAAGGATTCCAAGTAGCTTCAGGTCAGTCAATCACATATGCATGCTAAAACTATATATGTAAAGATCTATAAAACATATGAGCTTTCGTGTGACTTTAAAACTGACTAGACATGGGTCTCACCCACACGAACCCTCTCACTGATACATCCCTGGCCACTATACCTCATTGGTATTCACATTCAGCACTTCAGCACTTCCCTATTCAGACATACTTCTGATTTTTCAGAACAGTATGAGGAACACACTTTCAATCCTATTACAAACTTAAGAATTTTAACACTAGTAAGTTTCTTTATCAATTGTTATACAAATAAAGAGAACTTTAAAATGACTATTACAGCAAACGTACTGTTAAGTGGTTTTCGAGATTCTTCACTTTCTGTCCTGTCTATTCTTGAACTCTCTTCTGTCTTCATAATGGTCTTCTTTGTCCTTCTCTTATCCTCTTCATTTTCACTATCTGCTGTGTAAAGACTCTGATCTGCAAAGGGCTGTCTCTCATCTCTGTATCATTGGGAAAAAACAAATCAGAAATAATGCAAGACTATGTATTCCCTCCCACTTCATTTACAGAGCAGAGAACTGAGACACTTTCCCCATACTATAGTCAACACTAACAATATGGACAAGGCAGCGCAAGAACAAAGGGAATCCAACAAAAATTATCTGTTTGATACCTGATCTATTGTACATACTTAATTATTCTTCCATTTGTCAGCAGCAGTCGTAGATCATTATCTTTTGCTCTCCATTCAGGTACCGTGGAAGATGGCTGGAGATGTTTGTTGAATTTTCCATTCAGTTTAGAGCTCAAGATGTCCTTAAAGTATAAAAATAGAATTGACTTAACATCAGGCACACCTGCTCCACTGAAGGAAAACAGGAGACTGCTATTTCCCCATAGCCCTGCCATGCAGAGTGACAGGCAGCTGCCTGGGTTTGGAAACATGCAGCAATCCCATATTCCAGAGTTCTTCAAGTTAAGGCATGAGGATGGTTCATCTTTTGGGAGGGCCATTGACAATAAAATACATTTTGTAAAGCAGAATGTAAAATATGCATAAAGCAAATCCAAAGAAAGCTCCACTCCTGCAGAAGCTGAAAAGAAGGGGCAATACGGTCTTAGATTTTTTTTATTCTCTTCTGCTTCTTCTTGCTAAAGTGTAACTGCTGGGCCTTCTCACTTACCCTTACCTTGACTTCATATCTGTCTTCCCATGAGGCACTGTTAGCATCCACACCATTATCACCAGGCACAGAGGCCATGAGGTGAAGAAAGACACGATGGTAGCTCATTTTATTAGTTCGTTCTTATTTATTTATTTATTTTAGTTGTCAATGGACCTTTGTTTTATTTATATATATGCAGTTCTGAGAATCAAACCCATTGCCTCACACACGCTAGGCAAGTGTTCTACCACTGAGTCACAATTCCAACCCCAGTAGCATTTTTTTTTAATATTTATTTTTTAGTTGTACACAATACCTTTATTTTGTTTATTTATTTTTATGTGGTGCTGAGGATCGAACCCAGGGCCTCGCACATGCTAGGCGAGTGCTCTACTATCAAACCACAACCCCAGCCCAGATGTGGTACTGAGGATCGAACCCGGGCCGCATGCATGCCAGGCGAGTGCGCTACCACTTGAGCCACATCCCCAGCCTAGTAGCTTGTTTTTAATGTATAAAAATTATTTCCTTTCTGAGATATTTTTCCTTAAAAATAAGTAGAACCTTCTGTAATAAGCTAAAACTTCCCCAGAGGGCTATGACTTAAGTAGGTTTAGAACAAAATATTATTTTATTTTGGGGTTTTTTGGTACTGGGGATTGAACACGGGGGCATTTAACCACTGAGCCTTAGCCTCCTGAGCCTCGGTATTACAGATGTATGCCGCTGTGCCTGGTTTAGAACAGCATACTCTCAAAACAATGTACTTAAGAAGGTTATAATTTGTATGTAATTTTTTTAATGTTTTAATCTAGTGATTCCTCTACCTCATTCATTGTGGATTACTATCTATTCTGTTCTTAAAATATAAAATCATAGGGCTGGGGATATGGCTCAAGCGGTAGCGTGCTCGCCTGGCATGCGTGCGGCCCGGGTTCGATCCTCAGCACCACATACCAACAAAGATGTTGTGTCCGCCGAGAACTAAAAAATAAATATTAAAAATTCTCTCTCTCTCTCCCCTCTCTCACTCTCTCTTTAAAAAAAAAATATATAAAATCATAGATGACACAGATCTCATCATAAATTCATTATCATGTTTTAAATGGTGCTGCATTGATCTTATCACTGCCTCTCACTCTCCCTTCTGTCCAATAGGCCAGCATTTCTGATTTTAAAGGGTTTATTCTAATAGTCTCCTAGTCAGGTAGTCAGCCAGGCTGGTGCCGTTGGCTCAAGGACAGGTTTGTGCATTTGCTCTTCCCCAACCTAAAATACTATTCCCCAAATTTGTGTATCTACGTGACATCTTCCTGTTAATAAGACGTCAGTTCAAACATCTCCACCTGAGAGGCTCTCCTACCATACCAGCTAAAGCAGCTAGTCACCATGACTATTTATTCTATTGTCCTTCAAAACACTTGGCATCTGAAATTACATTATTTTAGTATATATTTTTGCCTCCCAATTTTTGTACTTGAACTCTGATGAAGTTTCATAAGGACAGGGACTTAATTTTTGCTTACTCTGGCAACTTCTCTAGAACCTAAGAGAGTACAGGGTAAACACTCAATAAACATGTCAGCAAATGAATGAGGTCTATTCATCCTAACATGACACTGATACCTAGAAAGATTAGGCACCCCACCTTGCCCCCAGACAAAAATATTTGTTGACCCCTACAATTCTACAGCAAATAACAACAAGAATAATTGATAATATAAATTTTATTACCCCTTTAAAGAACTTTAACAAACAACTGGGTTTATTTTTCTCATCATGAAGTGTAATACTTACCTCTTCCCATGGACACATCTCTAATCTTTTAAGAACTTCCCTTGTATGGAGCTCTAAGATGTCTAGGTTAGAAGGAGTTCGAATATTATTATGATCTCGAAGTTTTCTCATCTTTCGTCGGGAATGGTATGGGGAAGTTGCTTCATTTGAGGATCGTGAAACTGGACACACAGTAGGAATTCCCTGAGATTTAACTGGTTTGCCATTTTCTTCCTTTAAGAATTAGATTCAGAATGTATTTTAAGAAAAAGGCTACTATATATAGACTTGACTATTCAGCCATAAAAATACTCTTAGAACACAAAAACTATTCCATTTAATCACAGAAAAGAAAAAGACCAAATCAAAGCCTTGGTTTCCCCATCTCTTCTCTATGTAATATACTGTGAACACATTCCCTTGATTTCCAGTATTATACTAATAGCTGTGTAGGGGTATATCATGAATTACTGGCCTCATACTTACTGATAGGTAGCTATTCAGGCTCCTTCCAGTTCTTTCCAATGAAAAAATTCTTTTTACATACATATTTGTGTAAATCAATACTTAATTTATATAAGTATATACATATATATTTAGTTGTTGATGGACATTTATTTGTTTACATGTGGTGCTGAAGATTAAACCCAGTGACTCACACATGCTAGGCAAGTGCTCTACCATCAAACCACAACCCCAGCCCAATATTTACTTTTTAAATCAAAGTCACAGGGCTGGGACTGTAGCTCAGTGGCAGAATGCTTGCCTAGCATATGTGAGGCACTGGGTTTGATCCTCAGCACCACATAAAAATAAACAAATAAAATAAAGGTATGCTATCCATTTACAACTACAAAAAAAAAATTAAAAAAAAAATCAAAGCCACACATTTTTGCAGTTTTTGTCCTTATTTTTTTCATGTTAAATATATTAAAGAAAGTGTATTACAGCAAAATGACTAAATATCCAGATACAATAATGAAATGTTACAGCCTTCTAGAAATAATGAATACACAGAATTTAGTTAATATTTTAAACATTTTATTAAGATTTTGAATGATTCAAAACCCACCCTGATAATGTGAAAACAAAGGAGATTTTTTTTTTCCTATCTACCTATATTAATTCTTCTGCCTTTCTTTTCTTTCTCCTTAACTTTGACTGCCACATGGGAACCTCGGCTCTACCCTAAGCCAAAGCTATCTTCTCTAAGGATTATCTATGCAATGGTACTTGAGTTTGGTACTTTTTCCTCCTGGTAATTTCTTATGGACCATACATCTATTCAGTTTTAAAAATTAAATAAGAATATCATGAAAAGCAGCAGTCTACTCTTTCCCATCCCTGATACCCATTTTTCAAAGGCAACCACTTACCCTGTGGAAACACATTACATAAAATTTGCCATCTTAACCACTTTTAAGTATACAATTCAGAGGCATTCTGTACCGTCACACTGCTGTGCAATCAGCACCCCATCCATCTCCAGAACTTCTTCATCTGCCCCTATTAACCACTAACTTCCCATCCTCCCTTTTCCCCAGCTCCTGACAACCATTATTCTGCTTTCTGTCTCTATGAATTTGACAACTCTAGGAACCTCATATGAATGGAATCATACTTGTCCTTTTGTGACTGGTTTATTTCACTTAGCAAAATACCTTCAAAGTTCATCTATGTTGTAGCATGTGTCAGAATAACCATTTTATATACTCTATGTACCAGTTTGTTTATCCATTCATCCACTGATGGACTCTTGCGTTGCTCCTTCCTTTGGGCTATTGTGAATAATACTGCTACGAATACGGTACAAACATATCTGTCCAAGACCCTGCTTTCAATTATTCTGAGTACATAGCTAAAATTTGCAATTCTGACAACTGTTTCCCCACCACCACCCAGTTATTTGTCTCTAACTTTCTAAATAATATGTTTATACTGATTTCAGCTTTAGGTATAACTGAATTCCTACTATGTAAGAAAAAGTTTTTTTAATTTTTTTTTTTGTAGTAGTAATGGGCAGATTGCCTTTGTTTCATTTTTATGTGGTACTAAGGATTGAACCCAGTGCCTCACACATGGAAGGCAAGTGCTCTGCCACTGAGCTACTGCCCCAGCCCGCAAATTAAGTTTTAATCCTCATATACCACTTCCTAAACCTATCCATTCTTCCCTTTTCTTCAACATTTAGAATTTAAATAGGACTCGGTAAAATATGTTTTTTGATCCTAAATTCATTTATATGCAATTACTATCACTCTTTAAGAGATTTTTCTACTACATTTGAACATACTGAGAAATACTTGAACTATTCTTATTCTAAATCTAGGATTTTAATATTTCTTAGATATGTACCTCTTTTCATTCCTTAAAACAGCCCTAATGTCAGATGTTAATTTACCAGTTGACTTTCATCCTCCACTTAATTTCCTCTTAATTCAAGCTATACACTAGAACAATCACTTTCCTGAAAAATTATTTTAATTAAAAACCTCCTTCCTTAAATACCTAGAATATCTATTAATTATTAAAATACCTAATCAGATTTATAGGTTTTTATCAAAAGTATTTACCTCACTGGCTGCTCTCATACATTCCCTCAAGTGGACTGCCTTGCCCAACCCACTAATATCATCCCTCTTTCCAACACAGTTTCACCTAACTTTACTCACTTCCCTTAGGTTTTTTTTTAATCTTAGTTTTTTTCTCTTGCTCTAATTATTTAACATGAATTCATTTCTGAATGGCTGAAATTAATTGGATCTGAAAGCTGTACTGATAACTATGTTGTTTTTGTTTTTTTAATTTTTGAAGTAACCTGAAGAACCTGAGGTAACCTGGAAACTGCCTCCTTATTATTTCATTACTTCATTGCAATACAATATTCCAAATTTTTCTCCAGGATTTTGGAAACCTTGAGACTCTGTCCAAGACTCAGCTCACTCTATTTCTTGTAAGTGCTTTTGGCTTCATTTTCTTCTCTTCCCTTCCTCTTTCCCTCTCTCCCTTCCTTTCTTTTTCTTATACTAGGGATGGAATCCAGGACCTCACATGTGATAGGCAAACACTCTACCACTGAGCTACACCCCAGCCCCTGTGTAAGGTGCTTTCAAACGTTTGCATCATGGTGGTATGCCGGAAGCCATCCGTGAACTATGCGTGAACTAAAAAAATGTAGAAGGCATTAGGCAAGAAAGTCTGGTATTAGGGACTTGGATTTTAGAGTCAGATATTTGGATTCAAATCTCAGCTTTGAATGGTACTTTTCCCTTTGGTGAAAAGGAACAACTTTGCTGGTTTGGGAATGCCTAATTCATGTAACTTCCTACCTAGCCCTGTCACAAGTTCAGCACAGCATCATGGGAGATGGAGTGACCAGCAGGAACCACACCGATTCTCAGGGATGGGTGTGGCTTGACAAAATGCCAATCAACATTATTACTGCCACATGGAGAAGCAAGACTCCTCCCACTGAAATCTTAAAACCTTATCCCTGACTTTGATGTACTCCCCCTTAAAAAAAAGAAGGAGGGTGCCGGGGTTGTGTCTCAGTGGTGGAGCGCTTGCCTGGCGTGTGTGAGGCACTGGGTTTGATCCTCGCCACCACATAAAAACAAACTAATGTATCCACCTAAAACTAAAGATACATAAATAAATAAATATTTTTAATAAATAAATAAATAAAGATATTGTGTCCATCTACAACAACAACAACAAAAATTAAAAATAAGAAACCGAGGACATTTTTCAGTTGTTCAGTTCCACTCCCTATCAGAATTAAAAGACCTATCAGGGCTGGGGGTGTGGCTCAGGCGGTAGCGTGCTCGCCTGGCATGCGTGCGTGCGGTCCGGGTTCGATCCTCAGCACCACATACCAACAAAGATGTTGTGTCCGCCGAGAACTAAAAAATAAATATTAAAAATTCTCTCTCTCCTCTCTCACTCTCTCTTTAAAAAAAAATTAAATTAAATTAAAAAAAAATCCTAATCTATTCAGCTAAAGGCCTTGCACAGGGTCTCCAATATAAAGTATGCTTACAGAAACAGGGAAGGAGAAAGGGCTCAGGCTCTGGGCTGAGGTTGTGGCTCACCTAGCATGGGTGAGGCACTGGGTACCATCCTCAGCACCACATAAAGTTAAGTGAATAAAGGTATTGTGTCCATCTACAATTAAAACATATTAAAAAAAAAAAGATCTATCAGGCACTCCCCTTTTTATCTAATTTCTGGCTCTGTCTCTATTTCTTATTAATTATTTCAGACTTTTTCTTTCCTAGTCAGCTCACACCTCCTGAGCAGGAACCTACCCTGGCAGGGTACTGGTCACCCCACAATAGTGGTAGATCCATTTGCTTCTCAAAACAGAGTAAGCAAGCATTTAGATGACAGTTTCCATTCTTACCTCTATTGCTCGAATTACTTTAGAAAGTTCCTTAATAAGATGTCCAGGTCTCACATTGTCTGGAATTTCAAAGGCATGTTCAGATACAAGCTGTATTTGGATTAACAAAGATAACAAAACCAAAGTTACTTACACTTTATTAATAAAAAACTAACTTACTGACCCTATTTTTGGGTTCTCTAGACTTTGCAGACATAGCCAGTAAGAATAAGCCCAGTCTCAGAGATCATATAGTTGATATAATACCTTCTAAGGAGATCCTCATCATCATTTTATGTTCTATAATCATATAAAATCCTCAAACTGAATTAAAAACAGACTTGTTTGAGTGAATTTTGCTTTATATTGAATAGTAACATTATACTCTACACTTCAAATCCTGCTGTAATTCTAACTACAGTTACTACTACAGATATATACTAAAATAATTAAGCCTAACATTTAATTGACAATACATAAGGAATTTTATGGGGAACACAGGCACTTAAATAATCCTAGTGTCTCATGGAAATCTAATTTGAATAAATTTTGGTAAACTCTTTTCCATTTAACAGTTAAAAGCAAAATGAGGAAACAACCTAATGAATAGAAAAAAAATTAATTGTTGAGTCACAACATTTACTGTACTGCAAACTAATGTTATTATTTTTATGCCTATTTCCATATATTAATCTCTATATCTAATAACATTCTGATTTTTTAGACACATTCAACATAGCAGAGTTTCTACTTTTGCTTTGTACCCTCTACTTGGTTTTAGCATAATTTATTGAAACAAACTGATAATAAGAATAGTATTAACATAGTACTAACTCTGTGCTTTCATACTGTTAAATAATTTATAAGTGGGGCTGGGGATGTGGCTCAAGCGGTAGCGCGCTCGCCTGGCATGCGTGCGGCCCGGGTTCGATCCTTAGCACCACATACCAACAAAGATGTTGTGTCCGCCGAGAACTAAAAAAAAAATAAATGTTAAAAAAAAATTCTCTCTCTCCTCTCTCTTTAAAAAAAAAATAATAATTTATAAGCATTAACTCATTTAACCCCTTCAATAACTGTATGACACAGATACTATTGGTTTTAGTATTCCTTATCTGAAATGCTTAATACCAAAAGTATTTTGGATTTTAAAGCATTTCAGATTTCAGATTTTTAGATTAGGGATGTTCAACCTGTAAATTATTCCCATTTTGCAACCAAGGGAACTAAGACACAGAGGTTAGGTAATGTGCCCTGAGTCACATAGTTTATTAGCAACAAAGCTGAGATTTGAATCAAATATCTGACTCTAAAATCCAAGCTCTTAACCATTAAGGCAAGCTGCCTCTCATCTTGGAGCAAATTTAACATTACTCATGATAACAAATTTTACTATGCACTGAAATCACCTATGAGGTTTTTGGGTTCAGACCCATCCCAGATCTATCAAACTGTAATTTCTAGAGAAGGATCCAGAGGTTTTATTTTTAAAAAGCTCTACAGACAATGCTGATAAATACACACATTTGAGAACCACTCCTCTAAAGCCTCCAGCAGGAAACAGATTACACAGTTTTAAAAACATAAGCTTGATTTTGTTTTTATCATGTTAGGTAGTTGTTAATTTGCTTATGCTTTTCCTTATTATCTAGATAATGAAGTCTTTGATGGTAGAAGACATGATTTTTATTTTCTGAGAATTTTAATATTTATTTATTTATTTTTAATTATCAGCGGACACAACATCTTTGTTGGTATGTGGTGCTGAGGATCGACCCGGGCTGCAAGCATGCCAGGAGAGCGCGATACCACTTGAGCCACATCCCCAGCCCGATTTTTATTTTCTGAATGTTTCCATACTGCCTTTCTCTGTGGATATATAGCAATGATAATAAAGTGAAAGGAAGTGTCAAAATTACTGGGACTATCAGAACCTATTAATTATTGTCTCCCAATAATATCTCTTAAATGTAGAATTTTAATTTCAAATGGACATTCAAGAAATTAACATGGAAATATATTTTCATTAGCATATTATTTATCACTTATTAAAGCATTATGTTCCAAGATCTATGAGTTGAAATAAAAATGAGAAAGATGAAACCTATTTTTCAAGAGTTCATAAACCCAGAGAAAGGAAAAATGCATAATTTACTCTCTACAGATGTGTTTTAAGTTTTTACTCTCTCTATATATAGATTAGTTTTAAGTCCACTGGCACAAGAAATAAATGCTCTAGAGGGAAGGAAATACCAATTCTAAACAGAGATGTAGGATGATATCTCAAAGATTTCAAGTACAACTGGGCCACAATTTAGTGAAAATAAAGAGCTCATGCTTGAATATTACCACCTCCTTTTCCTCATTTTTTACATAAGTTTAGCAGAGTGGCAAAGAGCAGAGGTTTACAATCTTAGAGACTAACTCTATGTCCCTAGCTCACCAGTTCTTTTGGGAATTACTTAAACAGGATACCAATAGACCTTATACAGTTGCTCTGTGGATTAAATGAAATCCTGTGTACATAAAGACAAAGCACATTATAAGAGCTCAATTTTATTTTATTCTATAGCTACATGTTCATTCTTAGTCAATATCTTAAATATTTTTGAAATACTTTATTTTCCAGATTAAAGACTAAAGATTTACTCAAGCACTTTCTTATCAAAAATATAACCAGACACAAGTACATCTATAAATACTGTATAATAAAATGCAGGCTGTATTTTAAAACATGATTTCCATTCCCTCTACCAGTGGCAAATTCAAATGCTGCAAAAAACAGCAAAAGTACTCTTTTCTTCTTGACCTTGCTACATAAAAACAACTATAATGACTTACATCTTTTTTCATCCATAATTTTAAAGCAGTATGCAGTGCTTTCACTCCCTGTACTAGATAAGTCTGAGGCTGGAAACCATCTTCTCTCAGTTCTGTAGGAATGAAGTAGGGTGGGGAAAGGAAAAGAAATTACTTTTAGGTTTTGAGTAACCAGCAAATGACAAATTGCACAATTTCTATATTAACAAAAAAAGTAGAATACAAAATAATCAATTCAAAAGACAAGGAACTTAACTATTAAATCTAATGATATTAAATGCTCCAGCTAAACATATTTTTTTTAGAGAGGGGGGGAATTTTAATATTTATTTTTTAGTTTTCAGCGGACACAACATCTTTGTTTGTATGTGGTGCTAAGGATTGAACCTGGGCTGCACGCATGCCAGACGAGCGCGCTACCACTTGAGCCACATCCCCAGCCCAGCTAAACATATTTTTAAAAATACAAAAAGGTATAAGATAAAAAAGACAAAAAAAAAAACCTTGAAAAAAAAACAGCTAGAATAGCTATATGAACTGATTTTCATTAATAAAGGTCATTTTATAATGGCAAAATATTCAATTCGTTAGAAAGACAACTATTTAAAACTTGAACTCAAAAAGCAATAACTAAACAGAATTACAAAACAAATAAGCAATTCCACAATCATAGTGGAAGATTTTAACACGTGTAATAAACAATAGAATAATAAGAGTACTAAAACCAAAAATCTGTAGATTCTCTTTGAATAACATGCAATGTGATTCACTGGCCATAAATAGCACATTGTACTCAGCATCTGTAGAATAGAACATTCTTTTCAAATATATACAGAATAGGGGCTGGAGATGTGGCTCAAGCGGTAGCGCGCTGGCCTGGCATGCGTGCAGCCCGGGTTCGATCCTCACCACCACATACAAAACAAAGATGTTGTGTCCGCTGATAACTAAAAAAAAAATAAAAAATAAATATTAAAATTCTCTCTCTCTCTCCCTCTCTCAAAAAAAAAAAAAACAAAAAAAAACAAAAAAACAAATATATACAGAACATTTACAAAAATCCTCCATTTGCCAGGGTCATAAAAAAGTCCCATCAAATGTCCAAAGACCTAAATCACCTATATGTTCACAAGGCAACTGAGTTTGAAGTCAATAATAGACATCAGTCACAAAAAGATAACTAGAGAAAGCCCACGTGTTTAGAAACTAAGAAACCCAGATAATTAAGAAATAAACTGCTAAATAACATTTAGATTTTTAAAAAGTATTGAAAATCAGAAAACATATAAACAACAATGAAAACATACATTTAAATGTACATGTTAGAAAAAATGCTGAAATGCTGGGGTTATGAATCAGCGGTAGAGCACTCGCCTAGCATATGCAAGATCCTGGGTTCAATCCTCAGTACCATATAAAAATAAATAAATAAAATAAAGGTATTTAGAAAGAGAAAGAAAAAGTGATGAAAATGAGTTAAGGGCACACTAAAATGTTAAAAAATAAAGAAAAAATGATTTGCAAAAATTAAACAGAAAACAGATTATTTATTCTCAAACTGGTATTTGAAAAGATAATAAAATCCATAAAAAGAGAAAATCAGTACAAATACAAGTATCAAGAGACATCATTATAAATGTTACAAGCATTAAATAGTTAAGAGAATAATATAACTTTATATCAAAAATGTGAAAACCTAGAAATGAACAAACTTCTAAAAATTAGCTTATCAAAATGGACTCAACAAACTAGAAAAACTTAATAGTCCTTTATTCACAAATAATATTTATTAGCAGTCAGAAATTCTGCCATAAAGATAAGTATATACATCAGATTTCTTCATCAGTGAGGTCTACCAGGCATTCAAGAATCTTTCCAATCATATACAAACTCCTCCAGAGATCAGAAAAAGAAGGAACAACCCCAACTTTTTTCCTGAGCCTAGCATAATTTTCATACCAAAATCTATTAAGGACAGATGAGAAAATAAAATACAAGCCTATTTCACTCACTGCCAAAAGAAAAAATAAATACACACATACACACATTTATATACAATAAATATATTTTTCTATATATTCAGAGAATATATTTTACTAGTTTAGATTTATTTGAATATAAACAGACTATAATATAAACTATATTCTAACTTACTATATAGAAATTAAAACATCATCAAGTCCAAGTTTGGAGTAATATTAGAAACATCAATAAATGTAGCTACTAAATTAAAAAATTAAACAAGACAAATCATAAGACACGCAGGAAAAAGCTTTTGTTAAAATGCAACTAACTACCGATTATTTACAAACTAGTCTTTTAGCTAACTTGGAGTAGATAAGGACTTCCTCAACCTGATAAAGGCTATCAACAAAAAGCTACAGCAAACCCAAGATTCAGTGATAAAAGGCTGGGAACAAGATAAAGACTCCCATCTTCCCTACTCCTAGTTACAATTGCCCTGGAGATCCTAGACAACCCAGTAAAGCAAGAAATAAGTAAATGACATAAATATTATAAAAGAAGAAACACAATTCTCATTATTCACAGAAGACTATGTGATTATACATTAAAGAACCCACTATAACCTCAGATAAATGAAGTAACAGTTTTTAATAAGATTGCTGGATCCAAAATCAATATGAAAATTGTTTCTAAATTCCAGCATCACATGGTTAATAATCTGAACTATATGAAATTGCCAATGTTTGACCATTTTTGAAATACAAAAATAGCAACTTCATATGCTCAACTGTATGTATAATTACATATGTATATCATTAATGTAATTACAATTATAATTATATCATAATAATTAATTCTATTATTATACTCATATATTATTTAAGTAACAATATATAATGGGACCAAAGTATGAAAAACCCATAAATAAATTTAAGGAATCTGTGTGTAACTTTTAAAATATATATATATATATATGACACCCTGCAAGATAACAAACAAGAACTAAATAAGATGTTCCATGACAATTTTTTGAGAAAACTCAATTACCTAACTACATGGAATTTTACCAAAATTGATCTATATGCAATATGCTCAAATTAAGATACTAATACTTTTATTTGCTTGATTTTGGGGTGGGGGAGACTAGTGTCAATAAGTAATAAACTAACTCAAAAACTTAAGTGGAAAAGAAAAATAAAAGCCAGGGCAAAATAAAGAATGAGGCCAAGGCTTGAAGAATAAAATATGAGGACCTATTATATATCAATCAATTTTTAATATATGCTAATATGATAATGTGCTTGGTGGAGAGACAGACTACCAGCCCCACAAGATTAGAAGAGTGACTATTACTGTTTGGACATCAGGTTATCTCACAAAAGCTCCTGTGTTTCGGGAATATTCAGAGTTGAAATGATTGAACTATGACAGCTGCAACCTATTCAGCCATCCTAGTTTGAATGGACTGATTAGGTGGTAAACTATAGGCAGGTGGGTCATGGGTAGAGGAGGTGGATTACCAGGGGTCATCTTCTCCAGAGTCCCGTTTCCTTTCCCTCTCTTCTTCTCACCATCCCTCACCTGCTCTGGCTGCCAAGAGCAGAAAAGTTTCCCTCTACCATGCCCTTCCACGATGTTCTGCATGATCTTGGACCCAGAGCAATGGAGTCGGCCAATCATGTACTAAACCTCTGAAACCATGAGCTAGAATAAATGTTTCCTCCTCTAAGTTGTCTTGTTGCATATTTTGGTTACAGCAAAGAAAAGCTAAGACCGTGAGTAATGAGTGAGTATCAAAGGTTCCACACATATATCAACACATGAAACAAGAACAGGATAAAAAATGGATTGTTCAAAATATGACCCTGGAACAAATGGGTATTTGTAAGAAAATGACTGCCATCGTTTTCAAGAAAATCAATTAAAATGAGTTAAAGGCCTAAATGTAAAATATGAAACTACGTAAGTTTTTAGTAGGCAAAGAGTATCTTCAAAACCTTAGGATAAGAAGTTAAGGCACAAAAAGCACTAAACACAAAAACTGGGGAAAAAAAATACTGTTTTAAAATTAATAAAGTTTGTCCTTCAACAGAACCCAAAGAGAATAAAAAGGTAAGTCAAAATTGCAGGTATTTTTAACATATATTCCTGAAAGGACTAAGATCCAGGACATATGAAGAATTAGTATTAAAAAAACTAAATTAAAATATTGGCAAAAGACCTAAACAGATACTTCACTGAAGAGGAAATCTAAAAGGCCAATACATATAAAAAAAATGTTCAGTTACATTAATAATCAGGAATATGCAAATTAAAAAGATAAGGAATACTATTTCACACCTGATGGGTTTGCAAAAATTAGAACCTAATGATACCAAGTGTTGCCAAGGAAATGGGAATTGGGAACTACGTGAATTCTATCTATGACTCAACAATTGGGGCTGTTCTCTGGAGTAACTTTTGCACTTAGTTGACACTGACAAGAACTTCTTAGAACCATCTTCCATAAATACCAAAAACTGGAAAAAAAAATTGCCTGGCAACAGCTAGAATGGTCACTGGGCTCTAGCCTTAGTAGGACTAGATTAAAACAACTGTATTGCCAGTGTCCAACAACTGTAGAAGAAGCACACAAATTAAGGTATAGTCACACAACATAATACTATAGTAATGAAAAAAGAAGACTACAGCTACACACAATAACATGAATGAACCTCACAAATAAAGCTTAGCAAAAGACAGGTTACATATAATAGAAAAAGTTTTAATCTATTCATATGAAATTTACAAATACATAAAAATCAAACTATTTTCATTTACAACACAGGTGAAAAAATTGAAGAAAAAGATTATCACAAAAGGCGAGACAGTGATTATCTCCAGAAAGTGAAAGACAATGTATGGGGAGGTTATTGGGGTATTTTTAAGGTACTGCTCCTTTTGCTTCACTTGCAGAGAAATTACCTGAATAACAGCCTTCTTTAAATTGGATGAGAATATGTAGTCTCTGTGTGATCTATATACAGTGAGCTGTGTATGGTTTATTTTACTATTTGTCAGACAAAGTAAAAATATAAGCTCACACTAATGTCTTTTGGGGAATTGCAAACCAGACTGTGATTTAAACTCATGCAAAATATTTCAGATGCGCTCCAAAATTCAGGTGAGTTGAAACAAAAGCAAAATATTTTAATTCTGCCCAGTGGCTAACTTACTTACATAAATTCAAACTGGTTCATCCTTTTATTATCATTAACATGAAACACACATTGTACGAGTTTCATATACTCCTCATTCATTTAACCCATCACACTGCAGAAGCTTTCTAACAGTCTGATAATTGGCAAACAGGCCACAATAGAAAAGTAGAAAAGTCAGTGAGCAGAACATAACATAAGATAAAAAGACTACCATTTCTGTTTCTGTTTCCAGGAAAAATGCCTAGGATGATGGCAACAGCTAGAATGGTCATTCGGCTCTAGCCTTAGCAGGACTAGATTAAAACAATTATATTGCTAAGTATCCTGGCTTACTGATCTGGCTGATAAAAAATTTTAAAGCAACTTACAAATACTCTTATTTACAGAATCCTTTTTTAAAGTCCTTAATGTACAGGGCCATCCTTCTGACTGGACCTCATTTCTGAATTTTTGATGGCCTAAGACAATACTAAATTATTATTTCTAAGACAGAGCAAATTACTGTTGCACCTTAAGGAGTCAACCTTTTGTCTCTCAGATAAACTCTAAATTTGTTCTAAAAGGGAAACTGATGAGCCTCTCCTACACATTGGGGGCTGGGGGAGACCCCAGTGGTGGTGGGGCTGTGGGAGGGAAGTATATGTGTGGGGGCGTTTCTCCTAAATAACCATAAGACAGGAATTTGGGTCCTGGGTCAAAATAAGAAAAGATGGGAAAAAATACTCTGGACCAAGTGAATTGCCAATCTCTTAACTAGAGAGTTCAGTAGTTGAATTTTATTTCTAGAAAATAAGACCATTTATAAATGTTTTTATAAGCATGCTTCTGCTTTTCTAGGCATGCACTTGGATAAGAGACTGAAGTTCACTGTCCAGTTTTTTACTGGAAACTGGACATTCTGGAGATGACAACTCTACGGCCCATTGATACATTCCTGCAGCCAAGAACAATACATGAAAAGAACACTGAGTCTGGGATTTAGGATAAAGATTCATTTCTAAAGCAGGGGCTAGATTTGTAAAGAAGGACCTAGTCCTTCTCATTCAAGTGACCCTACCTCCATCAAACACCCCCACAGCACTATCACATCTCCCTCAAGACTGTCCTGTATGGTGACATTGTTTTATCCTTTCAATCAAAAAAAGGGGCTTATTTTGAAGAGGAAATATCATACATGAATTTTATCATTTTACTTCTGTACATGCTTTTCCTGGGTATCTCTTTTCATCTTATCTTTTCTTCTTACGTGTCTTCTAAATGGAAAAGAAATTTCTGGATAAATCTTACTGTTTTCTCTATATCTATTCTCCTGAAAGTTAATTATAATATTTGCACCATTTGCAAAATTAGAAAAGTTAGGCAACTCAAAACTAGACAAACACTATTCTCACTGGCACAAGTATATGAAAAGTAAAAAATGGATAGAAGTAATATACAATCTTAACTTGGCTGCTCAAAGATTAAGTCAAATATAAAAGCATGAAAATCTAAAATCTACCTTCTAAAAAAATTCAAAGCTACATAAGGAGATTTCAAAAAATATTTTTCTTCAACTACAGATTACAAACCAACAATTAGCCCATTTATATGCTAACAGGTGAATTATACTAGCCAGAATTATGGTTGCAATGGTGATGGTGCAGGCATTACCTGATTTCCTCAGGACTTGAAAATTATCCACTTTATATTTTTAAAGCAAATGTCTGGGAACACATATTAGGTAACCATCTAAATTTTTAAAGCAAGGCACTTAAACATGCTTGAGAATGTATGTAGGCCTCTAGATCACTGGATGAAATTAATGTTTTCCAATATTACTCATGTGGCTCTAAACAGGTCTTCACATACCTGATTTCTAAGAACACGGGTTAGTAGGCTATGGACTAGAAACTACTTGCTATTAAGGTTCCTGGCAGGGGGGACATTATGTTTTAACAAACAAACAGATGTGACATCCAGACCCTAGAAAAGCATCTGTCAGGTAACTTTGAGGGAATTTACAAACATTATACATCACATTATACAACAAAGTGTACAAATCATTAATTACCTTTCAGGGTTTCCAGCAAATTTTTGGCTACAAACCAACATATGGCTTCAAAGAAAGGGAATTTGAAAAGATCTGGTGTTTTTAGTCTTTTCTCCATCTCATAACACCTAAATAAATAAGATTTGAAGAAATACTTAGTATTAATATTAGTATTTCAAAATAGTTAATTAAAGGTAGCCAGTTAAAAATAAAATAAGCAGGGCATGTTACATAAGACATATCAATCAAGTATAGTACATTACTTAATGTAACATTTGAACAACACTGAATTGTGATCTTATCCAGGTTCTGACCTTCATAAACTTGATGGTGTACTTAAGAATTATACTGGGCTTTCATGAAAGGTCATTGAGATCTGTATCCTAGTTTTAATAAAAGATACTTTACGAGGGTTCCACCATTATGAATTAAATAGTATGTTTAAAATTAGCTTCATGTGTTGGACAACACTGCAGCACCCACCCAAGCATTCAAGATAGGGACCACATTTGGCACTAGATTAAGGTATAAAGACAAGAACCACAGTTTTCCATGATAACTGTGAGTCTTCTGTAGGAGTCCATGCAGCTGTCCCTATATAAGCCATATTTCCTCCAATGACAGCTCAGGTACAAAGAGATCAAATCCAAATTTGACAAGTGTGGGACATACCCTGGGTTAAAGCCTCGTGACCTCTTATAGCTACTATCTTCTGTAATAACTCCACAGGTGCAGAGCATTCAGGGTTCCCTGAGCACATGCAAAATTACAAGTCCCCACATTCAGTGAAGCCCAAAACTACAACCTCACACCAAGAATTTCTAGTTCTCCCAGTCCTTATGCATTTTATCAGTCACGAATTATTTGTACCATAAGCAATGTTGCACCATAACATTCTACCCTCATTACTATCTGGGGAACAGCAGATAGTCTAGTCCTTCTCATACAGAAGGGCAATAGCTGTTAATCCTTTATCCAAAGCAAAACTAAAACAGGTGTTCTGACAGCAATATCAACTTAAGAATTGGTTTGTTCCAGCATCAATAGTTACATGTAAGTCTGGCTAACTTAATTCATTTACCTTAGGGCAAAAATAGCCAAATAAGAACATACAAATATTTATAATTTTTTTAATTTGGAGGGATACTAAGTTATTATTTTTGTTTTAGATTTGAAATGTATCAAGGAATCCTCCTGACAAAATTTTAAAATAATAGTTTTGTTAAAAATTTCTATTCCTAATGATTTCTCAAGGCCTATCTCCATGGACTCTCAAATAAAATATATCACAATTTTTCTTAAACAAGTAAACAAAAATGTCCTGTTTAAGGAAGGATGAAAGATCCTTTCAAAATTAATGACACAAACCTGAGCTGCATGCCAATGTTAAGGTTGTGCAGAAAGTTCCCCCCAAAAGCCATACAGTCCTGAGAAGTGAGCACAGCATGAATCCACCCTGAAATGGTTACAAACGTATAAATTAATGCTTTTCAATATTTTAAAGTCAAACAAGCTGGTTGCCACGGCACAAACTTGTAACTCTAGTTAATCAGGAAGCAAGTGGATCACAAGTTTAAATCCAATCTGGGCAACTTAACATAGTCTCAAAATTTCAAAAGGGTCCTAGGATGTAGTTCAGTGGTAGTGTGTTTGCCTAGCATGTGTGAGGCTCTAGGTTTGATCCCAACTACCTCAAAACATGCAAAACAAAACAGGTATGCTATCTACCTGAGAAATAAGTAACTCAAATATCAACATCTCTTTCCTTTATACTCCAGTGCTAAAGAAATTAATGATTGAGGCATTCAATTAAATATTAAATGCCTATAATATGCCAGACTCTATGCTGAGTTTGAGGAATAAAGTGAAGGGTTTTGGTGGTAATTTTTTTAGTTTAAAAATATAATATTTAGCATTTGTCTAAGATTAAAGATTTAAAGAGACAAGTCAAATGTGCCTTAAAATTAGGAAAGCACATTTGCCATTAAAAAACATGGGGGCTGGCTGAACATTCTGCTTCTCTGGTGTCACACTGAACTGAGTATCTTGAAGGAAACAAGCAGAGAAGGATCGAGGAACCCAATAAGACCAGACTCTGTAAGAAGGAAAGGGCAGATCACCCACATTTAATTGTTATTTTTTAAATATTTTTTTAGTTGGAGACAGACACAATACCTTTATTTATTTATTTTTAGGTGGTGCCAAGGATCAAACCCAGTGCCTCACACTTTCTAGGCAAGTGCTCTACCACTGAACTATAACTGCAGCTCTACCCCCACACACATTTAATTATGGAGAGACATGGTCCTATAAATATAAATGTTGGCAATCAAAATGTTTTGTTTTCTCATTAAAATGTTTTCAAAGTGAGAATCATTTAAAGAGATGATAGCCTAACTTCTGAAAGAAATGCTAAAATACTTAACAGTCTTTCAGTACAGAAGTATAAATTTCAGTATGAATATGTAACGACAAAGCCCACTATTATGTATAATTATAATGCACCAATAAAAAAAACAGGAGAATAAAAAAGAAATATAAACTCCACTGGGCCTTCATATAGGTACAAAGCCTGTTCACTCACAACCTGAGCATAGAAAATAGAACTTCATTATACATCTAAACAATATATTTCTGAGTGGTTTGGGCACAATTTCCAGGAATATAACTACTCTGTAAATTGAAGGAAACTATAGTTTAGTTTGTATAGAAATATATCAGTTGCCAACTACTCTGGAAAGAAACATCACATTGCCTATAGCAGTGTTTCTCCAAATGTGGTCCCCAGACCAGATACCAGCATCAGTTGAGTAATCGTTAGAAACAAATTCTCAGGCCCACCCCAAATTGACTAAATCAGAATCTTGGGGAAGGAGGCCAGCAATCCGGTGGACAAGCCCTCCAGGTGATCCTGTTATTCCATAAAATTTGAAAACCACTAACTTCTACTCATGCCACTAACAGAATTTGAGTTGCCATTAGCACGGATCTATGCTGGTTTCCTGACTTACACAGTTAACCAATTCATTCTGTCCTCTATTGCTGCTGTGCACACAGATATCAAAATAACATTTCATTATAAATTACCTTTTCATTTCTTCCTTATATTCTAGTTGTTATTAAGTCAACTTTTAAAACAATGATTCATGTAAGTTATATTATCTATAAATTTCAATTTAAGATTTTGAAGGGGGTACAACAAAATATTTACTATAAAAAGAAGCAAGAAAGAGCTTAGTCATTCATAATGAAATACTGATACTTAACCAGGCAAATCATGGTGGTTTTTTGTCATTGATTCATTCACTTATTTAAGCACACATTTATGATTATATATACCAGAGATAAGGTAAAAAGCAGGTCTATGGTAACAGAACCCTGTGAAGTTTACAGCCATTGAGGTCACCCAACTAAAGGAACACTGTCCTCAAAACCATTGGTCTGGTGAGTTTATACACTGCCATTCATTCACATCTCAGATTGACACGCTGATACCTATACTTGAGGTATCAGCTTTTCTCAGTTTTTTGTTTGTTTGTTTTATAAAGCACAGTTATTTGGAGGATAGCTTGGCTGTTCCTCAAAAAGTTAAACAGGGAAACCAGCAGTGCAACAATTCCACTACTAGGTACACACCTAAGAGAAATGAACATACCACCACATAAAAACTTGCACACAAATGTTTAAGGCAACACTATTCAGAATAGCCCAAAGTGGAAGCAACCCAAATGTCCATCAACTGATGAATGGATAAATAAAATATGGTATACCCTACAGTGGAATATTGTTGGGCCACAAAAAGATAAAGTACTTATGGCCTCCTGATGCTTACTACAGGCTGGGTTTGTATATACAAAGAGAAGGCAGAGTAAGCCTACCCCATGTACAACTCAGCCCAGGACCTGTGTCTGGTTGGTGTTGTGAATGGGGAGACATGGAAAGGGGGGGAAAAAAAAGATAAAGTACTTATACGTGGTATAGCATGGATAAGCCTAGAAAATATTATGGTAAAGCAAAGAAGATGGACACAAAATGCCACATTCATAAAGTGTCCAGAATAGCAAATCAAGAGAGACAGAAAGTACATTAATAGTTGTCCTTCCTCTCAGGGAAGGGGGAAATGGGAAGGCTGCTAAAGGGTATGTGGTTTCTTTCTGAGATAATGAAAATGTTCTAGAATTAGATAGTGTTGATAGTTATGCAGCCTTATTAATCAACTAAAATCCACTGAATTATATACTTTAAAAGGATGAAAGTGATATAGCATGTGAATTTTATTTCAATGATAATAAAAGTGAAGGCAAATGAAATGATGCCAAAAGGAACCCTAACAAGCCCGCTAAAACACAATTAAGTAAAAAGCCCAAGATCAGAATTATTTCTTAGGCAAATATGGAAAAGTCATAGGTCCTAATTACAAGATGTGGCTTGTATCAACTATTAATAGTAGGGGGTGGGATTAAAACCTTACCTGTAGGAACAAATAAGGTATGCCCCTGCTTTACCACACATTTATAGCATTTATCCACTTTATCTCCAAAGAACACTTCACTCTGGGTCACAGATGAACTCCAAGATTCATAGAGTGCCAAATTTTCATTTGTTGGCTTTATCAAATAAAAAATTTTCTCACCCTAAAAGGAAGTAACATATGATATAATTTTGGAAAAAACAAATCATTTTAGGATTGCCTAACTGATACCATTTCCCAATACAATGATCTGAGTTAAATTAGATAATTACCAGATTGTTTAGGTCCAAAATATCTATGTCACATACCTGATCAATAGTTAATTCCCTTAATAAGCATTTTCACTGGAGCTAAAGCTCCTCCTACCCCCACACTAATCAGGAGTCAATAATCAAATTGAAGAAAGGAAGGTAATAAACCAAAAAAAATCCCACTTGCTGCAACCCACAGCGTCAATGAAGGATTCTCAAGTAGAGACAATGGGAGATGAAGAAAAAACACAGAGACAAAGAAGACACAATAATTTAGATAATTTCACTAAAAAAGCTGGGGACCAGGTGGGAAAACTGCACTCTGATGGAGTAGCAGTGACCCAGAACTAGTTCCAAAAGTTTATTATATAGATCTCATAATCAGAAAGTTAAACTATAGGGGCACTGTAAATTGTTCAAGGGTGGTAAGCTGTCAAAGGCTTCTTTGTGCCCTAAAAAGTTGCAGAGCTAGAAACATTTTGCAACAGCTATACTATTGCTGCAGTGCTAAGAACATTCTGCCATTATCCTGCTGTACCCAGGATACCCATTGTCCTGGGATGTCTGATAAATGTTAGCATCAGAGCTAGGCTGATAACATCCTTGCCTTTGGCAAGGAATGTTTCCCAGGCTTGTCTTTGCCAACACCGTAGGATCTGATGACGGGGGCTCATCTGCTCTCAACACCCACTGATGCCCACTGCACCCCTGCACTTTTATATGTCATGCTAGGGATCAAACTCAGGGCCTCAGGTATGCTAGGCAAAAACTCTACCACTGAGCTACATCCCTGGTCCATGACCTCCCATTTTTAAGGTGTAGAAATGTTAATAGGGTCCAGGTCACAGCACAATCACCTTTCAAATTCTGTCCTTTCTCCTAAGATCTATAACATAATGAATATTCTTAAAGATCTGGAAATAAACTTCCCTTACTGAATTCTGTGTCCTCAAGGAGAAAAGGAATAGGAGCTTAAGAACACAGCATCAAATACAGACCAAAGCACTGCCAACACAGAGGCATTTGATGGAGATGAAAAATCTGGTTCTAAATCAGCGCTCTCCAATGACCTTCCTATACCAATGGAACATTTTCATATCTATGCTATCCAGTAGAGTAGCCTCTAGCCACATGTGGCTAATGAGCACCTAAAATGTGGCAAGTATAAAAATGAACTGAATTTTTAATTATTCAACTAGATTTAACTAATTTAGTTAATTATTTAACTAATATTTAACTAAATTTAATTAAATTTAGTCACATGTGGCTAGTAAATGCTATATTAAGCAGTGCAGTTCTAGACAGAGCAAAGTGAATATAAACTATGTAGAATTAGCATTCTTATAGGCATATGTGACTTATCCAATCAGCTTTCCTACCCCCACCAAACTTAAAGTCAGAAGCAATCATAACTATAATTTTGCTCCTTAGATATCTGTTCAGGGATTAATGAATAATTGATAAGGGGGAGAGAGGGCAGAAGGTTAACAGAAACCAACTTAAAAGTGGAGGTAAAAAAGGAATCTACTGGGCTGGGGTTGTGGCTCAGTGGCAGAGCGCTTATCTAGCATGTGTGAGGCATTGGGTTCAATTCTCAGCACCGCATATAAATAAATGAACAAAATAAAGGTTCATCAACATCTTTAAAAAAAAAGGAACCTAAATATATATAAAAAACTTGACTACTTGGGATTAAAAAAAAAAATCACATCTTTTAACAACAAATAGATAGATTCCACTTAAAAAGTAGAAAAATATTCCCCTGTACAAATGTTATTTATAGTAACTGAATGTGCCAACAGAAAAATATTACTATGTGTTTTTGTCAATGAAAGGACAAAAAAAAAAAAAAAAAACCTAGTCTTACCCAGAGGACATGGTACCAGACTGAAGTTCCACCGAAGTCAATGTGGAAATCTGTATAGCTGTCTTGAACTCCCATTAAACAGTATTTCTGAACAAATGGCTTGGGAAAGACTGAATCATCTGGCCAATAATTTTCCACCCAGGAAAGTTTTCTGGCTATATCAGGGACCTCCACCAATTCAGACATCCTTTAAAAATAATAATTTAAAAAAGTACATACACATACCCCCACATAAAACAAATTAAAACTTCTTAAAAACCACTGCTCCCATGTTAACCCAAACCAAGTAATTAACTGGAATTCAAGGTTAAAAACACTTAATTAAAAGTTTAAAACTCATTATGTCCAAATATTCTCTGAGGGTGCCAAAGCAAAAGATGTAATATTACTACTAGTGGACAAATTTACAAGTCACAATCATGTTTCTTACTAAAATAAATTTATCATTAAACTACATTTAGCTAACACTCAGAATGCCATATCAAAATGCCCAGAATTACTCACTTTGTATCTGAAAATTCAAGGCTGATCACATTTAACACTTTTGGTCTGTTAGGATTCATGAAGTATTTAACATAATTGTGAAGTGTCATTTTGCTGTCTGCTTGCCTTGCCACATCAATGACATCTATCACTTTGTCACCACCTGCAGAGAAAAATTAGAATCTTATTATTGGGCTTAAGAGTTACATCAATAGATGCCCTAAACAAAAATAGTTTAAAGACTGCATTTGCGGGCTGGGGATGTGGCTCAAGCGGTAGCGCGCTCGCCTGGCATGCGTGCGGCCTGGGTTTGATCCTCAGCACCACATACAAACAAAGATGTTGTGTCCACCGAAAACTAAAAAATAAATAAATACATATTAAAAAATTCTCATTCTCTCTCTCTCTCTTAAAAAAAAAAGACTGCATTTGCTTGGTATGATAATTAAGCCAACCATAAAACTATATATCTTAGGCAAAGGATACTTCTTATATTCTTACTTTTTAAGTCCAACTGGACATTTTGAAAAGAAGAGAGAATGTATTATAAAACAATAACAAAGAATAAAACAATAACAAAGAGCTGCAAAATTAATACTGAGTGTAAAAACTTAACAGGGCTTACAAAACGTATCAATCAATGATTGCTTGTAACTCATAATGGCAAAAAAATACATTGTATTGGGATGTGAAAATTGTCTAATACTTTTTGAGTTTCAATTTCCTCATGCATAAAATCAAAGAATTGGCTTTTACTTTTAACTTCTGTAACACCTAAAATTCTATCAATTTGAAAACCCAATCAATTGTTGGGAAATTAGTGAGCAAGTTGACTAGAACAATTTCTGGGTTTTGTTCATTTGTCTGTTGGTAGCAGGGACTGAACCCAAGGGCGTTTTACCACTAAGCCACATCCCCAGCCCTTTTATTTTTTATTTTGAGACAGAGTCTCACTAGGTTGCTTACAGCCTAAGTAGCTGAGGCTGGCTTAAAACCTGTGAATCTCTTGTCTCAGCCTCCTGAGCTGCAGGAATTTATAGGTATGTATAAAACCACACCTGGAGGTTTGAACATGACAATATCTGCTCTACTGGTAGTGTTTTCTCTTAACTCTCAGTGCCTGTCTGAATGCCCAAGTTCTGAGTTATGATTAATTCACAATTTTCCTATAAAACCATGACATGATAGCTTGCATTACCACCCTAGAAAGTGTAATCAGTTATATAATGGACTAATGAATAGTTGGAATTCAAAATATGGCAATATTTAACCAATCTGAACAGAAAACTAATAAATGCCATTTTCTCAGTCTAAGTTCACACAGGTTAATAACACTGCCTCATAGATTAGTCTTCAGGATGTAATATAGTTACATTACTAGTATTTCAACCAAGGTGCTTTGCAGTACTGAAAAGTTAGCAGTCCAAGCAGTTTTATCCTCTACTTACATTACATTAGTCATTATATCACAGTGCTATCTACGCAAACAGGTTTAAGTTAAATGTCAGCCTCATCCAAATTATCAAATTCAAATTTAGCTGAATGTGAAGTTATGGCATTAAATGGATTTCCTTAATAAAACAATCATCCACGAGAACTGTTAACCAATAGTTCAATAAAGGGACAAGTTCTTCTACATTCCAAGCTGAAGAGATAATGTATTTTAGTGGACATATAATTTTAAGTCAAAGTGGATCTGAGATGTAATCCTCAAATAATATCTTTCTACTCCTGACAAGGAATGGCACATACATACAGTCATTCTTATCTACAGATAACATGAGGAGAATAAATGAAATGACTGAAAATGTCAATAACAGAGCAATCAGTAAAGGGCTTTGGTCCTTGTTTCTTTTTACTTTCTGAGCATCAAAAACCACAAATTAAATACAAATGTTATTAAATGGCAGTATTCACCAAGTTATTAAATATACAAACAGGTCTAAATATAATCTCTTTTTACAGCCTTTCCTCCAGGCAACAAGTCACTAAGCAAATTCCAAAAAACTAGTTGTTACACGAGCTCTAGGAATTCTGCATCTGCATTCTACAGAGGCTCAGTCCCAATCCAGTTTCTCCATGTATTCTTGGCATCTTCAGAAGCCCCTCAGTCACAGTTTTCCCTAAGCAAGTATCACAGAACAGCAGGATGAAGCTGAGTAAATAAGAATAGGTAAAACCTTTCCCTCTTTTTCTGACCATTATTTCAGATCAGCTGAGAAAAGCAGTTTTCAACAAAGGTAACACTTAGTTTTACTTTTTCTGACCCATTCAATTTTAATACTGTTAAGACACTTCCATTTTTATTTTCACCATGTTTTGCCAAGTACTTAAAGGAACCAAGTTCGTACCTACATAACGTTCCACATCCATCACAGAAAAAGCAGGTGGAGGGAGCCTGAGTCCTAGATCATCTAATTTAGAGACCATAATAGGGACATCAAATCCATGTTTTTCCAGGTATCTTTGTGTCAGCTGGTTGCCATGCATCTTTACAATGATTTCATCGGCACTAAGAAAAACATAAGAATAAAATGTCGTTTTTATTGTTAATTTCAGTTTTAAAACAATACTATGGTAATGGATTACTTCATAAATTGCATAATTATCTGCATTAGTGGTTCTCAACCTATCATACCTAATTCTCTTAATAACAAATGTTTTATAAAACCCCTACTGCTATTCTAAAGGAAAATTCATAGATAATATAATCTATTTAATTCAATACGAAAGAATTAGAAAAACATAAGGTGCTCTAACTATAAAAAGAAAAAACTAGCTTATAGTAAAATATGTATTTCAATATGTAAATGTTCAGGTAAATTGTACTAGAATACATAATAAAATAGTAGGATATTTAAAATTAGGTGTAATGAAGGACTGAGTTTAGGAGAAATTAAAGATCAAAAGTCACACAATACAAGCTGTGTAGAAAATAAAAAGAGCAATAAAGGGTATAATTTTTAATTTAAAAAAATGTTAGATTAAGTAAAAACAGATTAGATTTTATCTACACAAATATTTGTCAGACACTTCAAAGGGACATAGAACAATTAATTATATGTATATATGACATTGAGACAAGTGTCCCAAATGCCCTTGATAAGAATTACCAATTTAAATGATATGTTAGAACCAGTATTAAACAAATTTTATTACTAGAAGTCACTTAATTCACTAAAACTTGTTGAACTCAGGCTGCCCTCTCTGATGATCTACCTAATCATAATTCCAAAGAAATCCAGTATGCAGCTGCCATACAAAAATAATTGTAAAACTTGCCTTACAGGTTAAAACACAACAATTTCCATTTATCCAATCAGAGCTTAAGTATTTAATGTCATCTGTAACTTAGGTGGATAGGAGCTGGTTCTCTGAATTACTGGGCTCTGATCTTCCCACCCTCTTAATAAGGAAAGAGCAGTTTGAAAACCGAGACAGCCATTTCCTAGTCTCACATTTAGGAATTTAGGTTTTCTTCATCTGACTTACCTACTGATCTTGAGTTCTGTCCCCATCTTTTAGTTTCCCCAAAAAGCATCCATAATTATCCCTCCTTCCCCCACCCTCTGAGGATTAAATAATTCCTTAAATGCCAAACTAAGAGACAATTTTAAATCATCTATGTTCCTTGATCTCAAATGTTTAGTGGTTTACTTCCCCTATTGATCAGGAAAATATATATATACGAGTACTAAAATACAAATACATTATTTGCAAGAGGAAAACAACTGAAGACAAATTTAAATATATATCACATGGGGATGTTAAACAAATTATGGTATATATACACTATTACAGTTAAGGAGTGTAATAAATCTGTGTATACGTATGGAAGAATATCTATGAAATAGAGCAAAAAAGTCAAGTTATACAACACTATGCATAACTTAATTTTTAAAAAAATTATCTGGGGGCTGGTGTGGCTCAGCAGTAGAGCACTTGCCTAGCACATTCAAGGCCCTGGGTTCAATCCTCAGCACCACATAAATAAAATAAAGGTATTGAGTCCAACTACAACTAAAAAATAAATTTAAAAAAAAATTATATGCATCAATATATGTTTACACATAATGTTTTAAATGTTATTGTTTATATAGAAAAATATCTTTAAAGATACTACATAGTAAAATAGGGAGGGGGATAAAAAGCCTATTCACTTAGTTTTATATACTTCTGTGTTAACTATATCAAATATGTTTGATTTAGTAATTATTGTTACTCCTTTAACATGATTTTAAATAATGCAAAAGCTCATGGAATTAAATAAAAGGAAACCAAAACCTTTAATTATTGATAATTACAATTTGGACATTTGTGCAATCTCTAACCTGTTCTAATTTGTGTTCATTTTTTGCAGAAAAACCATGCAAATTATTAGGCCAATGTTTTAAATACTACTTTGTAGGGGGTCACAAATCTATGTGAAAAAAGTAGAGGCGTGGATGGCTCTTATGGCTGAAAAATGCACACTCACACACTGGCACTAAACTGTATATATAACAAAAATCATGTGGAAACATTATGTTTCATATGTTTTCTTTCTGTTTCTGTCTCTCAACAGATCTGATAAAGCCAACATGAATGCTTACTAGTATATGTTTCTGTTTAAGGATTATGAGGCAGAGGGACAGATAGGAATCCTAAAGATTGAAGAAAAATAGCAGTTTTCTTTTTTCATTTCATAATCTGAATCAATTCCATTATAGGCTGCATGTGATACTGTGATTTAAATTTAAATTGTGCTTCCCCTCTTTAACAAGCCTGGATATGATCTTGTATAAAAGCCCATTAAGCATTATCACTTTAAATAGATGTCAGGCAGTGAGGAGGAAATGATCTAAATTAGCATGATTAAATGCTTTATAATGCTTCTGACTCTCTTTCACAGACAACTCAAATACATTCTATTATTTTTAAAAATCAAAAAGCTCAGTCCTGCTGCCATCAGAAGCTAAGCAATAACTGTGCGTTCTTTTGCAGATCCTAGGGCAGAGACAGATATTGAAAACAAGACAAGGGGAAAAAAGAGTTGGAAAGGAGTGAAGGTTAGGTCAAAGAAAAAGAGAAGCAGCAGCTGCATACCTGGTAGAAACAAATACTGGGAACAAGTGCTTCAATCACTATATTTCAAAGTTTTTGAACTGTGACCCACAATTAAGAATTGTATTTTTACGTGGTGCTGCACTATGTAGATACATACAACAAAAGTTTCATGAAACTATGCTTACTTACTCCCATTACATTAGATGTACAAATATTTTCTATCCTATTTCATTAAGAAATAAAATGAAAAGCCCATTGAGAACAATAACATATAGTAGTCCAAAGTTTAAAAATACTACTTTAGCCAGCCTCGGTGGCGCACACCTTCTTTTTCACTAAAGTTTTAGAAAGTTAAAAAAAGCACACACTTTTGTAAATACTATTCCAGCAGCTCAGGAGGCTGAGGCAGGAGGATCCTGAGTTCAAAGCCAGCCTCAGCAAAAGTGAGGTGCTAAACAACTCAGTGAGCCTGTCTCTAAATTTAAAAAATACAAAACAGGGCTAGAGATGTGGCTCAGTGGCTCAGTGGTTGAATGCCCCTGAGTTCAATCCCTAATACCAAAAAAGAAAGAAAGAAAGAAAACACTACATTAGGGCTGCAGTTGTAGCTCAGTGGTAGAGCACTTGCCTGGTATGTGTGAGACCATGGGTTCAATCCACACCACCACATAGAAATAAACAAATAAAATAAAAGATCCATTGACAACTAAAAAATATTTTAAAAAAAGAAAAAAAAGAAAGAAAACACTTTACATAATGTCACTTTATCAGCCAACATTCTTACATTTTGTTTGATCAGAGCAAGTTTTCCATACCTTGGGAAGACTCGAGATCGTAATTCCTTAACAAAAGTCCTAGTTCCAGCTTGCACTGGTTTGGAACCATCATCAACTTCTGTGTAGTCATGCCTGTGCCAGTTTCTCCTCTTTTTCACTAAAGTTTTAGAAAGTTAAAAAAAGAACATACTTTTGGTAACTGGTAATACTATATACTTTCTCATTATTGTAGTCTATATTTATCAGAAATAATAACTAAGTACTATAAACTCTCAAATTTTTAATGCATTTCCAGGACACAGAAGTAAATTTTACTTAATCTAATGTTGCCCTTATAGACAATTAAGTGTAGATTTTAAAACTTACTTTTTTATTTCAAAATAATTTAAAAATTAAACCAAAGAATTCAAATCAGCAAATGAAACCTTTTACAATATCTACATTTACTCTTACCAGAATATTTCCAAATAATTTTAAATTATGATTTTTACTGGCATATTAGTTCATAACATAATTATCCAGATCGTCTAAATTATCTTCTCAGAAGAGGGTCTTTTATCCCACATCAGAAATATCTTTTAATAGTATGATTTCTTTTTTTTTTCAGATTTACTCCCAAATAAGCACATTTACCCTGACATGAAAAACTGAGTGGTCATTAAAGTGAGACGGTTGGTATGACAAAATAAACAACTTTATGATTAGTTCCAATGCTAAGAGCCTATGATTCTACAGCTCTGACTCAATCTTGAGTAGTCATAACAATTAAAATCAGGAGACTAGTATTTGATTCTTTTCTATTCCTCTTGCAACCTTGGGCAAGTTACTTAGATCCAGATTTCTCATGATAGTGAAGGGGATAGGTTAGAGTGCTGATTTTCAAACTGTGAGGATCTCTTCACAAAGAGGGAAGTGGAAAGAAGCCAAGGGAGAAGCTCTGGACCTCATTCCTCTTTCCACCACAATGGTGCCACTCACAACGCTTTTGTGTGGTATCAATGTAAAATTTCAGTTTTAAATCTTTTTTTTAAGCTTGAAAGTCACTCTTATGTATAAAACCCCCATGATTCTGGCAAATATACTGATGTTTGCAACTTATTCAGAAATTCATCAAAAAGAAAAAAGACGAATACAAAGTGGGATGGTTGCATAAAGAGATAAGTGGTAAAGCAAGTGATGTAAATGTTAATAGTAGAACCCAGCTGGTGAATGTTTATAGGGAGATGTTGTAAAATTACTTCAGCTTTTTCTGTATTTGAACATTTTCATAACAAAATGTAAGGGGGAAAAAAACAACTCTATGATACCAAGGTATTTTAACTTTCACCTTACCAAGATCATAATAAGACAATAATACTTGATCTTCCTTTGGATAAAGAGGATCACATCAAATAATAGGAGTGGAAATAGAGTCTGAAACAAAATTCCAAAATAACTTATTGCAACCAGATCTCCAATATGGAAGAGAGTAAATTCCATTTTTTAAAAAATCTCAAAAGAAAAATTTAGAATCACAGAGGAATCTTCCTAGAATATTCCATGGAGGGATCCTTTGTATGTTATTTTCTTCCTCACTTAAAACCACTCCTAAAATTCAAAGGCATTTCATTCTAGGTTTTTTTTCCCCCCTACTAAACACTGATATGTAGTTCCATTTATTTTCAAGTGGGATGACTTTGTTTATCCTGCTTATTCAAAAGCAATCTAAAGGCAGTCTAGAATTTTAAGACGTGAATGTATCATGTTATAATTATTTGTTATTCTTAAGCACTTAGTTCATCCTGAATCTTTCTTCAAACAAAATTATAGTTAGTATTCAGACATATTAATCTGTTCCCCTAATTAATTTCTTAGGGTTTATTTCTAGAATTGCTAGAAGGAAGATCATAATTTTTGAGATGCTTGCTACATACTACAAAACTGCCTCCAGAAAAGCATTAGTAACTTGCATTCCTACCAGTACAGTATATTGTTAGCCTGGCTCAAAGCTTCCTGTTAACAATGAGGATCATCATTTAAAAAAAAAAAAGAAAAAAAAAAAAGCTGCCAATTTGATAAGTGAACAATGATAATGCACTGCTTTAATTTCATTTTTGCAGAGTAATCAATGAAGTACACTAGATTTGGTATTTGACAGCTAAGGGTTCAAACTCTAGCTCTACCAAACAGGTATATATGAGAGCTACTTACTAATTTTTCCTATATCTCTTATCAAATTGTTATAAATATCAAAGGGGAACATAGATCAAGTACTTACCTACTATCATACCCTGGTACATAATAAGCAGTTACTATCATTTCTTTAAATGTGCTGACTTTAGGAGATTTAACAGAAGGATACAATTGTCCTATTGAACCAACATGCTTAAAACATAAAATCAGCCACTATAAAGGCTGGCTGAGAGGACAATAAAAGGAACATTTTAGTAGTATCACAGGGAAAGATGAAAAACTTCTATGTTTGGATTACCCGTGCCCGAGGAACACAAAGAATATAGGTTAAAGTGCCAAGCTGTTTTCTGAGACTTACCCTCAAATAATATCCTCAACTCCCAGAGGGTAAAGTCTAAAGTTATCATATTAAATGAGTATTATGTTGTCTAAATGGTATCTATAATAAAGATTTCTGGGGAACTCTGAAAGAATCAGGAAACCCTGGGTAGCAAGCAAAAGAGGTTTAATAGCAGAGGGAAAGAAATCAAAAGTAATTACCCAAGTTGGGGTTGATGGTGAGGGCTGGGAGAAGGTGAGCTTTAGATCAAGACAAAATAGATTATTGAATATTGGGCATTTTCCCTCTGAGTATTCAGAGCTGGCCCTCTGCCCAGAAGATAGCCAATGCCTAATCTTAAGTTCTTCAAGAATGAGAAGCACCCCAAGGGCCACATAATAAGCAAGCTACTCTCTAAAGCATCATTATTCAAAGTGCAGGTCATAATCCATTATGGACTATATAATCAATTTAGTGAGTTTGACAAGTTTTTAAAAAGATGAAATCACACAGCGAAAGTAGAAAATAGAGTGCATCACATGTAGTAGTACATTTTTCTGCCTCTAAGTAGTAACCCAATATTTCACATAAATTAAATTAAAATTATTTCATTTTAGGATTATATACTTAAATTCTAAACTAAAATTGTTAGTTCTTTTTGTCCTGAGATAACAACATTGTATTGTTTACTTCCTCCAAGAATTATTCTTAGGCAACAATTATTTCAACTTGTACACCATATAAGTATATGGTACAGTGCTACAGAGTAAAATCCTTTAAAAACATCTAGGACAACAAACTACTCAATTAGACATGTAACAGTCCTACCAGTTTATTAACCTTAAGGTTTATACTGTGTAATTAACAAATTAAAAAACCTGTGTTTCCTACAAAAATACTTCAACGCACTCATAGAGCCTAAATTTCTAATTCTCTTACAAAGAAATTTAGAAAAACTACTAATATTTCTAACAAAACAGATAGATGAGCAGTTACTTGCTAGTAATCTATTTTCAATGATAACTTCAGAGCAACATTTCCATTTTGTTTTTTAGTTATACACAATACCTTTATTTAATTAATTTATTTATTTTTATGTGGTGCTAAGGATCAAACCCAGGGCCTCGCATGTACTAGGTGAGTGCTCTACCGCTAAGCCACAACCCCAGCCCTCTATTTTTTTTTTTTAAGTACTAGGATAAAGTAAAAAGGTGGTACATTACCTACATCCCACCCACTTCTATAACAAGGTATCTTTAGGCAAAGGTGACTTTTAGTTTTAAAATGACAAAACGTACAGTTTCCCTTTAAATTTTGTGAACACAGAAACACTAGTTTGCAAGCCAAATTTTTAAAGAAATGTTTATATTTTCTCTCATATTTGTACAGTAACAATTAATAGTACAACTTGTTCTTTGGAAGCATCTGAACTGACAATTTAAAGTACTAGTATTTTTCCCTTATTCTTTTGACTTATTACTTAATAAGTTATTTTAAAATTCAGACAAAAACTACATTCTAAATATCTTCAGTGAAATCTTCCCTATAATTCTTAGTGGGTATAATGTAATTAATCAGAATATCATTAAAGCATTATCACACACGTTTTCAAAATATCAATTTTTCAAGCATCCAGTACTTACTCAAGGAGGAACCATGTAGTACTGCACAGTTGGGACAGTGATACAGGTCAATGTCAACAGCATGATGTTCTTCTACTCCAACACAGCTAATATAAAGAAAAATAAAATAAATATTAACTTAATTATTTTAAAAAATTTGGAAATTGAGCAGAGAAATGTACTACAACCAGCAAATTCTGTATAATACAAAAACATATGCAAGGATAAATTTTATTTGTTTCTCTATATATTTGCTAAATATTGGGGGGGAGAATCACCCAAATATGTGAAGTGATTCACTCTCAGCAGCAGTATAAACATTGAAAATAATGCAATAAAATAAGCTATAAAATCCTAAACCATTATGCAAAATCTATTCTGGAATTAGTGTCAATAAAGTATGACTCAAAAGAAAAGCCATAAAGAAAACCTGAAAAATTGAGAACACAATGAAAATACTATATAAAAAAATTTAATGGATGCAGAACTAATAAACAGAAATGTATATGCCTAAATGAATGTGTTAAAAAAAGGCTGAACTGGGCTGGTGATGTGTACCTGTAATCCCAGCTACTCAGAAAACTGAGGCAGGAGAATACAGATTTCAAGGCCAGCCTGAGTAATGTAACAAGACATGTCTAAAATACAATAAGGAAAAAAAAAAAAAGAGAGAGAGAGGCTGAAACTACTGAGTTAAGCATATGCTCAAGAAGTTAAAAAAAAAAGTAATAAAATAAATCTTAAAAACAGAAATAAAAGCATAAAGAGTAGAAATTGATGACATAAAAAACAAACAGGTAACAGGATCTAAGTCAAAAATGGATTCTTTGAGGGGCTGGGGTTATGGCTCAGCAGTAGAGCTCTTGCCTAGCAAGTGAGAGGCATTGGGTTCTATCCTCGGCACCACATAAAAATAAATGAATAAAATAATAAAATAATATATTGTGTCCAAATACAACTAAAAAATATTTTTTTTAAAATGAATTCCTTGAAAAGACTCACAAAATTGGCAAACCGTAGCAAGATCAAGATAAGAGATGGTATTACGAACAATGTTATGAAATTTAAAAAGGCATATATGTGTGTATATACATATATACACATATATGTACACACATACACACACCTGACTCACAAAGAAATAGAGTATCTGAATAGTCCTACGCTATGACTAATTTTTTAAATCAACCTATAAAGAAAACTTCAAGTCTAGGTGACATCACAAGCAAGTTCTATCAAACATTCAGTGAATAAATAATTTTAATTATTATGTAAAACTTGCTCTAGAGAGTAGGAAAAGGTTTAATTCCCTAGATCATTTTAATGATAGCATAACCTTAGTACCAAAACTTGGAAAGGATGATTGTAGGTGGTCACTCTTGCTTATAAGCAAAGATACAAAGTTTGGTCTATCCCAGGAATGCAAGGTAGTTTTTAATATTAAAAAAAAAAATAACCAGTGAAAGTAACCACATTAATAGATTAAAATTTTAGAAAGCATATTACACTTTTAAAACATACAGGGAAAATATTTGATAAAGTTCAACATTAACTTGTGATTAAAAAAGCAAACAAACAGAACCTCTCAGCAAACTAAAAGTAGAGGACACCTCCAATAAAAGGTAACTCTTAAAAAATTCTATGCAAATAACATGAAAGCAATCACTTTCAGATTAAGAACACAAGAGAAACACTTGATGGTACCACTTCTGCTAAGCATTTTGCTGCAGAAGCAAAATGGTATAGTAAAATAAGAAAAATAATAAAAGGGTAAAAGAAGTGGACAATTAAAAGCTGTTGTTTGCAAATGCAATGGTGGCACATGCAGAGAACATAAAATGATAAATTATAAGAATCAATTGCTAGATATAATATCAGTATATAAAAATAATCATATCTCCTTATATCAATAATAGAAAGATAAAAAATGAAATAAAACATGATGAGCAGTCAGGCATTGTGGCATACACCTGTAACACTTGTTACTCAGGAGGCTAAGGCAGAAGGATCTGAAGTTTGATAGTAAACTACCCCTGAGTTCAATCCCCAATACCAAATAAATAAAAAAAAACTTCATGTACAACTTACATTAAAAATGCTAAGATACACTGAAATAAATTTAATTTAATTATAAAACATCATTGAAAGACTTTAAACAAGACGTTAAATAAGGAGAGATTTACATCATGATCACATAGTTTCAATAAGGCAAAGATTAATTTTTCTCAAAGTGATTTATACATTCAATTTAATCACAATCAAAATCTGTGGAAATATAAAGGGCCAAGAATATGCAAGGCATTCTTAGGGGGGGAACCTCTACCAGGTATCAAGATTTATTTTAAAGCTATAGGAATCAAGGTAACTCAGAACAGATGCCTATACCCCACCCTACCCCCCCAAAAAATCTATGCATATGTGGACATTTATGTTTAACCTAGAAGGCACTACAGGTCACATGAACAAGGACAGGCAAGTTTTCAATAGAGTTCCAGAGACACACTGTATATATCTGCATGGGATTATAAACCTAAACACAAAAGGAGAAAGTACAGAGGTTATGCAACACAATGTAGAAAATATCTTTAGGACTTTGTGGCAGGAAGGGTTGTCTTTCTTTTGTTTTGGGTTTTGGTTTTCTGTCAGTATTGGGGATTGAATCCAAAGGTACTCTACCACTTAGCTACATCCTTGTCCTTTTTTATTTTGTATTTTGAGAGAGAAAGTCTCACTAAATTGAACCTGAAATCCTCCTGCCTCCACCTCTTGAGTATCTGGGATTACAGGTGAATAGCTGAGGTTACAGGCATGTTCCACCAAACACAGCAGGAAGGGTCATTTTAATCAAAACATAAAAAGTACTTTCTATAAGTGAACAACTTTTAACTGAAGCCATATTTAAAATAACTTGTTTATTTAATGATAAAGAGTGAAATAAACCAGAGTAGAAGACATTACAATACAGATAATCACTAAAGAAACTTTATCCAGAATATAATGAACTCCTACAAATTAATAAGAAGGGGGAAAAAGAACCAGCCAATAGAAAAGCAGACTAAAGACTTGAAAAGGTACACATCAAACAGGAAATCCCACTTGAATAGCTGCACATCATGACAGGAAATTCAAGTGATTAATACAAAATAAAAACTGTATAACCTCAAAAATTACAGGAAGAAATATAAATTAAAACACTACATGGTATCCACTAGACTAACTAAAACTAAAAAGTCTGATGATACCAAACGTTGAAGATGATGTGAAGCAATGAGAACCTTAATATACAACTGGCTGCATCAAAACTGAAGAGCCGTGTACTCTACAACCACACAATTCTTCTTTTAGGTAAATACATCTTAAAGAAACTCATGTACATATGCACTTATACAGGAATGGTTGTAGAATCTTTGTAATAGTCTATTAACAAAAATCAATAATCTGCAGTATATCTCATAATGGAAGTCTACACAGCAATGAAAGAAATACAATGCTATAAATGGATAAATTCTACAATATGCTCAGTTACAAAACACTTAAAAGAATACATATTGTATATATTCTTCTTATACATGAAGTTCAAGAGAAGGGAAAGCTGGAGTATGCTGTTTAAGGATGATGAAACTACAGAGAAGGAAGAGATGGATTGTAACACTAGGACAATGAGCTCCTCTACAGAGTTTGAATCTGGAAAAAATGGGTGAGAGGATATTGTGGTCCTGGGTCTATATTTTATATTAGTCATTAAAATGTCTGCATGTTACCCTTATTTCATAATCAAAATACTTAAGGGTAAAATTTTATTAAGCTAACTAAAAATTTGAAATATATTAATCCAATAACTACACAATATATCAAAATCAATGAACAGAAGCAATCACTGGGTACCCCAAACAAAGCCTACACTTACCTGAGAAACCCATTACCTTTGCTACCATGAGGTCTTTGAGAATCTTGAGTATAATATGCTGCAATAAAATCCATAAAGTCAAAACCAAATAGGTATCAAATAAACAAATAAGGGCTGGGGGTGTAGTAGTTCAGTGACACAGTGCTGGCCCAGCATATGTGAAGCCATGGGCTTGATCCTTAACAAGAATGCACCTAACTGAATTGGGCAATGACAATTTTACCTTTGTATAAAGCTGGCATTTACTTCATTTTTCCAATTTGGATTTACTTCATTTCTTCTTCACAAAGAGGGGGAAAAAAAAAAGAATATGCCAATTGTTTGGTGGGTGGTAACTTGTTTTCTTCTGATTCCAAGACTGAACCAAGGGCCTAGGCAAGCTATGCAAGGCTCTACAAGGAGCTATACATCCCCAGCCCCTAAAGTGTTTTTGGTTTTGTACCAGGTTTTGAACCAAGGGCAACTTAGCCACTGAGCCACATCCCCAGTCCTTTTAAAAACTTTTTTATTTTGAGAAAGGAACTCACTAAGTTGCTTAGGGCCTCACTTTCAACTTGCAATCCTCAGCACCCTGAGCCGCTAAGATTGCAGGCATGTGCCACCACACTTGGCCCTAAAGTTATTTTTTTTAAACTGAAAGACTAAAACTTCCAGTCCAATATAATAAACTTAATTTATATACATATGTGTGTGTTTATACATTATATATATATATATATAAATTAGCTCAAATGGGTCATATGCTAAAACTATACAATTCCTCAAATAAAATACAGGAGCCAATTGTCATGGCCTTGAATCAGGATATCGCTTCTTAGATCAGACACCAAAAGCAGAAGGGACAAAAGAAAAAATAGAGAAATTGGACTTCATACGACAGTCTGAAGACTTGTGTTTTCTCAGCTTAGTTGGTGTGAAATAATCAGTTGAGTATGGAAAGAAGCAGGAATGAGGAAAGAAAGTATAAAATGGTTGATGTGAAAAATGAGAGACCAAAAATGGCAGTAACAACATTACTAGCATTGTTGAGAGTCCACTGAGGTTTATGATAATGAATTACAAACCATTTCTGCAAAGTTTTGTGATTTTTTTTTTTTAAACAATGTTCAGTTCAGAGTGGGAAGTTAGGTCTCCCGCAGAATTAGGGTTTTCATAGGGGAAGACCAGAAAGGGAGTTGAGGGCATTTACACAAGGAGTTAAAACAATGACAACACATGGAATTTAAGGTGGACTAAAAGGGAGAAGACAGAAAAAGGCAGTGAGAAAACAGTGAGATGATCTGAGGGATTTCAATGTGGTTCTAGCATTGATTCACTGGAAGGTCTTGAGCAAATAATCTACAAGGGACAGAGATTGTGCTCAAAGAGTAGAATGATTAGAATTTGACATTTCTGAAGTAGTTCAGTCTATAACAGTGATAAAGTTCAAGTGTGATAACAATGAGTAGCCAAGATGGGACAATTACAAAGACCTTCTGCAGACCAGATGTATGAGAGCTAACTTGAATTCAATAAAACAGTTCAAAACCAGCTGCCCTGATTTTCAAAGTGAAATTTATTAGGTGTCAGTATTAGGTTCTACACTCCCATCAGAACAGAAACTCAAGGCCACAGGAGTCAATAGAGCACTTCTAGAAACTCATGATTTGTCTTGTCATTATCTTGCCCTTCCAAGACTTTTTCATATTCCTCACTACTTTTCTTATTTTTGGTAGGGGTGGGAGGGTGTGCTGGGGATTGAACTAAGAGACACTCAACCACTAAGCCACATCTCCAGCCCTATTTTGTATTTTTATTTAGAAACAGGATCTCACTGAGTTGCTTAGCACCTTGCATTTGCTGAGGCTGGCTTAGAACCCATGATCTTCCTGCTGTAGCCTCCCCAGCTACTGGGATTGAAGGTGTGCGCTACTGCACCCAGCTTTATTCCCACTCTTAAATAGTGATGTCAGAAATGAGAGAAAAATGTTATGTGTCCATAAAAACCTAAAGTGGGCTCATATCAATAAGCTCATCTATGAACATCTAAGATACATAAGTGAGACTCCCACAAAGCTTTAAGTGAAAGAGAAAGAAACACGCGTTTTGATTAGTCAAGGACACTTTAGGCAAAACTTAGCTATTAGTCCTCAAAAACCCAGAAATTGCCCTCTCTGGATTCTATTCTTCATGTCCCTTCTCATACCATTTAATCTGTTTTACTAAAATGTCAGTGATGTCTGCAGATTTTGGCCAATTTTCAATCAACCATCAGAACACTTACAGCTACATTTATTTCTAAATCTAAACATTTAGCAAATTTGGTAAATCAGCAAAAACATTAAATTTGATAAAATAAATAAACCTTTAAAAGTCCACTTTATCAAATAAAATATAATTAAAAAAAAACAAATTTAACATAAAATTTTAATTTTGCTAAACCAAGATTACTTTGGATCTTTGAAGAGCACTTAAAGGAATTACTACATACACTTCAGTTCCTCTCTCGGGGAGGGACAGACAACTGCTCTCCACTCTTTATTAAGTCTACTCACTCTGCCCCTCACCCCCCATTAAAAGAATTCTAGAATCACTATGTCTTCTAACAGACATGTTAAGAGCAATTGCAGTAGGATGCATAAAATATACAGCTTTGAAAGCAAGTTTTGTAAGAATCACTTTCAAATCTGACACTAAATTTTCTCTGGTCTCTTCCATTCCATTTATTTCCCCTGTCAAATTTTCCTTCAGATTCAAACTTTCAGTTTTTCCTACCAGCAAAACATTCCATGTTTATTAGACTATTGTGTAGGGGACAGAAGTGGGCTTTCCTGTGTGGTGACAATCTGACCTTTGATGAATAGCTCCCATCTACAGAACAGCCTCACTGCCATTTGGTGAGTGGGGCAGTGACAACTTTAGCACATTCTATTGTCTTAATCTTCTCAAATGTTGCTTAGCTGGCTTTTTTGGACACTTGATAAGAGAATTGAATTAATGGCCAACCAGAATTCCCTGGGATCTGCCAAACACTTTTTCTCTTGGATAATGCTCTCATTTATATTTTCTACTCTTGGTGCTAGGAGAGTAGTCATCAAATTCTTTAAGACCTTAGTATCAATGGGCTTCATTAGATATTCCTCTTACTTAAAAATACTCTCTTCATTCTTTTTTTTTCCCCTCTCCATTCTTTACCAAGCAGTCTTACCCTGCCTCATCTTCAAAGTCCAGCACAAATTCTTCGTCGATGCAATCCCACTTGAGCACCCCAAGGAAGTCCCTCAACATTTTATTGATGTACATTTCCACTCATTTTGGCCTAATACTGAGCTATTTTGAATACCCTGTTTCCTGAACTAAACTCCCTAAGACTCTCAGTTCCAAGCACACAATCCCAGTTATACTCCATGTATGTATAATATGCCAAAATACATTCTACTGTCATGTATAACTAAAAAAGGACAACAACAAAAAAAAAACTAAAAATCCTGTTGTTAAGCTTCTAATGAAATCATTTCATGATGAGTACATGAAGCACATGTGTCAAACATTACTTCTATGCTGGCATCTTAAACTCTTGGCTTCCTGAGTGCAGAAGACATGCTTGCTGTTACTTGTTGTTGTCTCTTGACAATGAACACAGAGTAAGCAATGCAAATTATGAATAAGCACAAATAAACCACTCTCTCATGAAGGTAATAATTTCTATTGAATTAATTCTAAACAAGAAAATGGTGTATAACATTTCTGAAATATCAAAAAAAAAAAAAAAAAAGACCTGTGGTCCTTCCACTAGTCATTCTACCTCTCAAACTAACATTTTCTAGTTCCACTTCACTAGTCAACTTTCCACCTCTCCAGCTGCATGAGATGTGTCCACAGAGACTAAGGGAAGCTATAATACAAACAGTGCCCAGTTCACCTGCTATTTTGTGGAAATAAAAACTATACTCTTATGTATAACCAGCGATACAAAAGAAAAATAATCAGTGATACAGCAAAAAAAAAAAAACTTCTCAAAATGAATATTATGTGAAAATTTAATTAAGAATTTTATAAATCATCTTGGAGGAGAAAAAATGAATCCGGGAGTTCACACATGCTAGGCAAGTGCTCTACCACTGAGCTACACCCTCGGTTGCCAAAATTATCATTTTATAGAGCAAAATTTTTGGTATAATGTACTAATTGCCTTCTGCCTTCTCTGTTCACCCCCACCTCCCTTAACATTAAAGAAAGATGAACAGTAACAAATATCTAGAGCTCAAAGGTAGAAAATCCTTGCTTCTAACTGATTCCACCATCACAAGTTATCTCCTTTATGAAAAAAACAAATACATACTACTGCCTTAATATATTTTGACTGATGAATTCTACTTAATAACTTTTGCAAAGAAGAAACTTGTACAAAAGTTTGTTTGAATCTAGATGTTCATTAAATATTTGCTAGTCCAACTCCTTATGAAAGGCAAAACTTAAAAGAATTAACATTCCAAGAAAACTTTTTCTAAACCCTTTAATAAATTTGGTCTAAATATCGCTCCCAAAACTAGCATTAGAATCCCATGCAGAGCTTTTCCAGACTGGTACTAGGCAGCCTTTCAAAAGATTGAAGCAGCTCTCTAAGAAGGGTTATGGGAAGAGCTCCAAAACACACTGTAAAACAAAACAAAACAAAACAAAACAAAAAAAGCCAAGTGAGTAACAGTTTTATAATATTCCCCCTAGAAACACACATTTGTAGATGCAAGGTGTATGTCTAGAAATATATGCAAGAAACTGGTAGCAGAGGCTGCCTCTGGGAAAGAAGAATGAATGGATACAAGAATGAAAGAGAGGATTTTTACCATATAGCCTTCTATTTTTGAAATTTGTACTGTGCACTGGTTATTTTTAAAAAGAAAAACACATTCCTGAGCCCCACCTTTAATCTACAGGGAAAAGGTAAGGGTTGGCCCAATAATCTTTATTCTTAACAAGTTCCCTAGGTGATTCTTTTGCATCCAGCTCATCAAAAAGTGGCACTGGGGAACGAGTGACCCAAAACCCTAGCACAGAGGCTAGAAGACTCACAACTATTTCCTGTGAAAACTCCATTACTCCAATTAGACTTTGGACTCCTACTGGGTAATACTTAATACATAGTTCAGAATTTCCTACTCTCAACAGACCTATCTAAAGCTGATTCCACACAAAATATTTACTGATTGATACAAAGCAAGAATGTAAAGCACAATGGGGAGGCATTATTTTGGGGATGCATTACTTTGGGCTACTAACCTGTAGACTGCTTAAACATGTATTTTGCAAATATGAAGGACTAGAAAGTGAATGTGAGGGGGAAAATAAACTCTCCTTTCGAGATCTTATTCTGAAATCCTTATAATTTTTGTCAATGAAAAAGAATGCAGTATTTTTACTGCAGGTTTAGTTGCACGTATAATCCTTTTGTATAGAAACAGTCCCTATTCATTACAAATTTATATAAAATGCTCATTTACTTTGTTATCCTTTCATGCTTTCCTTTCATGTAGCCCCAAAACCCCTATATTAACTTGATTTTACAAACAGACTATCTATAGATAATAGATGCAGAAATCAATTTTAAATGAACCAACAGTCATCAGAAACACTGCAATCCAGTTGCAGTTTTATTTCCCATTGAGAGTATAGAAAGAAAAGTTATGTTTTCTAGGACAAGATGACACCTATGGAAAATTTAGTATATGCAGGGCTAAGAGACTATCCCATGGAATAAAAGTTAACAGATAGTCAAAAGTGTTTATATCCAGGACACTTAGTGATGTGTCAGCTGCCAAGGACTGAAATCAACTAAAGCAGATCAAATCTTTCTGCTAACCTTTCTCATCTCATATATAATAGTTCCAGGGCTTGCATTTAAAGGAAAGAACACATGCCAAACCAAGCAAAAGCATTTACATTAGAAAACTTCCTGTTGGACAGAAACTAAGGTAACATACTTCAGGGGACTTAATACTGTTAGCATGCTCCTTCATTCTTCATGAGAGATTTCAACCACAGAAATCCTGTCATAATCCATAACAAATATCCCAAAGTGGAATTTCATATGTGACTCAGGAGATCTCAAAGAATTTCAATACAATTACAAATCAGAAATGCCCATCAACAGTAAAATGGGTAGTACAGATTTATGTGGAAAAGACCAACAACAATCACTGAACCATCTTATTTCAACACACACAAGTCAGACATTTAAAGTGTGCAATATACAAAAGAAGGACTTTTTACTTATTCATATATTGGTTCCTTTCAAAAAAACAGTTTGTCATTACAGGTTCCTGTCCCTTTTTTAACTTTTAATTTCCACTAAGGTCAGGTGATGGATGACTGACAAATTTAAGAGAAATACAGGCAGCCCATGTTTTGCATGATAGCACAGGACCATAAAAGTAACTATACAAAGCCATCTTAATAATCAATGGTGGAAATTACAATTGTTCTGTGACCTTGAAAAATGTTTGTCAAAGCCTTAAAACCTTTCATACTGTTGTTACAATATAGAGTGAAACCAAGAATAGTAATATTTCTTTCTATATATTTCTTTAATATACTTTAATACATTGTGCTGATTAAGTGTGTCTTCACTAAGTGCCTCTGGCTGGATGGCTAGAGTCACTCCAGGGTTGGTAGCGTCAATGTTTCCATGTCAGTTATTTACGCTATTACTCCAGTTAGGCCCAATTCAATTTCACTTCCAGCAAGATCACTTTCTGTTTCTTTGCTGCACTTTCATCTTTACTGGTCACTTTGCTCTTTCAATTATCCATTTTGATAATATGTCCTGTGGGTTTGTTCCTGAGAGGCAAGGTGGCAGCACAACACACTTTCTTGTCTGGTGAACTAGAGAACAGATGTACATCTCTTACTTATAAAGTGATTTTGGATCTGCACACTAAAGAGGTAGCAGTAAGTCTACATGCATTCACAGGTAATTTGTCATTTGACTATAATTTGAATATTGGGGAACTGATGTTATTCAAGCCATCTAGAGGAAATCAGTGCAAGAGCTAAAATAAGGACAAAGACTGCCTATACAGAATTCACCGGAAAAAATATTTTTAAAACTGTCCCACAAGACAAGGATACTAACAAAAAAAATTTCATAATTGAGAACACTGAGAAACACTGGGTTAAAATCAAATCACCTTTATTTACCAGCTTAACAAGTTAACCAGCACTCCAGAGTTCCATGATGGGAATCTAACATAAGTGATAAATATACACTCTAACCTCAGGTCAGTCTTTCTCTCTTTCTTTCTTTTTCATGAAACACTTTGTCAGGCTATTACCTTCCACCATAGGAAAGTGTTTTAGGTTACTTTTCAGGCTCATAAGGTGTGAAGAGTTTACTGTTATAAATTTAATATTTTTAAGACTTAATTTTTGTTTGACCATTTTATAATTGGTATAAAGTACCAATAAATCAAATGCATTGCATTAACAACAGAGAAAATTAGTGATAGCATTACCAAGCATTTACTGACTACCGGCAAAGCACATCAGTAGAATACATAAAAGCCAAATTTTTTAAATCTTTTTAAAATATTTAATTGATTTTATTTTTTAAATACATGACAGTGGAATGCATTACAATTCTTTTTTTAATCTTATTTTTTTAAATACAGGACAGCAGAATGCATTACAATTCTTATTACACATATACAGCACAATTTTTCATATCTTTGTATATAAAGTATGTTCACGCCAATTCATGTCTTTATACGTGTACTTTGTTTTGGGTTTTTTTTTGCATTACAATTCTTATTACACATATAGAGCACAATTTTTCATATCTATGTTTGTATATAAAGTATGTTCACACCAATTCATGTCTTCATACATGTACTTTGGATAACGATGTCTATTATATTCCACCATCATTGCTAACCCCCCTGGCCCCTCCCTTCCCCTCCCACCCCTCTATTCCTCCCATGCTCCCTCTCCCTACCCCATTATGGGTCAGTCACCTTATAGCACAGAAAACATTTGGCATTTGTTTTTTGGGGATTGGCTAACTTCACTTAGCATTATTTTCTCCAATGCCATCCATCTACCTACAAATGCCATGATTTTATTCTTTTTTATTGCTGAGTAATATTCCATTGTGTATATATGCCACATTTTTTTAATCTATCCATCTACTGAGGGGCATCTAGGTTGGTTCCAGTTTAGCTATTGTGCACTATGCTGCTATAAACATTGATGTGGCATTGTCCCTGTAATATGCTGTCCTATAACTTTTGGGTATAGACCAAAGAGAG